CTAGTTTTACTGTGGATATAGATACTTTTGTACCTGTTTCCTCCAGCATCTTCACAAGGTCCTTTGCTGTTGTTCTGGGATTGATTTTCACTTTTCGCACCAAAGTACGTTCATCTCTAGGATACAGAATGCGTCTCCTTCCTGAGCGGTATGACGGCTGCGTGGTCCCATGGTATTTATACTTGCATACTATTGTTTGTACAGATGAACGTGGTACCTTCAGGCGTTTGGAAATTGCTCCCAAGGATGAACCAGTTCTTGTGGAGGTCTACAAGGAATGATGGGTGGCGCTAAATACAGGGAAATACTTGAGGGAAACCTTTTTCAGTCTTCCAGAGATTGTGACTTGGACGGAGGTTCACCTTCCAGCAGGACAATGACCCTAAGCATACTGCTTAAGCAACACTCAAGTGTTTTAAGGGGAAACATTTAAATGTCTTGGAATGGCCTAGTCAAAGCCCAGACCTCAATCCAATTGAGAATCTGTGGTATGACTTAAAGATTGCTCTACACCAGCGGAACCCATCCAACTTGAAGGAGCTGGAGCAGTTTTGCCTTGAAGAATGGGCAAAAATCCCAGTGGCTAGATGTGCCAAGCTTATAGAGACATACCCCAAGAGACTTGCAGCTGTAATTGCTGCAAAAGGTGGCTCTACAAAGTATTGACTTTGGGGGGGGTGAATAGTTATGCACCCTCAAGTTTTCTGTTTTCTTGTCTTATTTCTTGTTTGTTTCACAATAAAAAATATTTTGCATCTTCAAAGTGGTTGGCATGTTGTGTAAATCAAATGATACAAACCCCCAAAAAATCTATTTTTATTCTAGGTTGTAAGGCAACAAAATAGGAAAAATGCCAAGGGGGGTGAATACTTTCGCAAGCCACTGTAAGACAAACATTTGGAAGATATCAAACGTCACCAGTCGAACAAAACCTTGAGTGTCACTGTGCACTTTTTTATTTAAAAGAAAACATGGATATCGACTTCATAACAATGTTGTTTTCCATTCTGCTCTCTCTTTTCTAGTCATCTAGTACTGACTGGCTGGGGGCAGAAACAGACAGGAATGGGATGTTTCTACTGCTCGTATCCTGTTTAACCAGCCTTAGACACATTATTCTGCCTACGGACTTCAGTATTCTTAGACTCTGATTTAGTTTAATGTGGTGGCCCTGTTGTCATGGTAATGGGTAGCATGGAAGGCCTGGCTCCACCTCAAGGCTGGTACAGTACACTACATCACTGACTAGGCCTCGCCCCACCTCAAGGCTGGTACAGTACACTACATCACTGACTAGGCCTCGCCCCACCTCAAGGCTGGTACAGTACACTACATCACAACAACAGGCTGTCCTGTTGATAGGCGAGATAGAGAGACCCACAGGGAGCTATAAGAGATGGAGAGACAGATCAACAGAGGGAACCCCTCTCTCTCTCTCTCTCTCTCTCTCTCTCTCTCGTCTCTCGTCTCCCTCCTCTCTCCTCTCCTCTCGCTCTCTCTCTCTCTCTCTCTCTCTCCTCTCCTGCATCTCTCCTCCTCTCTCTCTCAGACTCTCTCTCCTCTCTCTCTCCTCTCTTCTCTCCCTCTTCCTCCTCTCTCTCTTTCTCTCTCTCTCTCCCTCTCTCTCTCCTCTCTCTCTTCTCTCTCTCTTCCCCTCTCTCCCTCCTCTCTCTCTCTCTCCCTCCCTCCCTGAACCTGCTGTCTGATCTGTTCTTTCATTCCCATCAGCGCAGCTCCCCTCCAACAGAATGAGCTTCTAGGCCCTTGCCAGTAGAGCACCCAGCCCATAAACCACCCAGCCCATAAACCACCCAGCCCATAAACCACAGCCAGTGAGAAGTACAGTAATTCTACTAGTCTAGATGACACAATACTGTATGTATAGATATACTGTATGAGATTGATATCAGAGTATATAGGCTATCGGTTAAAATACTAAATGACCTACTGGATAGATACTGTAGATATACAGTACTAGTCAAAAGTTTGGACACACCTACTCATTCAAGGGTTTTTCTTTATTTTGACTATTTTTTACATTGTAGAATAATAGTGAAGACATCAAAACTATGAAATAACACATATGGAATCATGTAGTAACCAACAAAGTGTTAAACAAATCAAAATATATTTTATATTTGAGATTCTTCAAATAGCCACCCTTTGCCAATGCTCTTGGCATTGTGTTATGTCATAGTTTTGATGTCTTCACTATTATTCTACAATGTAGAAAATAGTAAAAATAAAGAATAACCCTTGAATGAGTAGGTGTGTCCAAACTTTTGACTGGTTCTGTAGGGTAGTTTCTCTCTCTCTCTTTCTCTCTCTCGCTCTTTATCATTCAGTCTTTCTCTCTCCCTCTCTCTCTCTTTTCTCTCTCTATATATTTTTTCTCTCTTTTTCTCTCTCTCTCTCTCTCTCTCTCTGGCCTGGGAGCCAGTGGCGGGAGGGAGGGAGAGCGAGGGGGATGAGGGAGGGGTGGAGCGGAGGAGGGGAATGGGTGTGGTGGGGTTAGGCAGCACGCTGGTTGACCTGCTCAGAATGACATCATCTCCAGAGAGGTGTGTGTGTGTGTGTGTTGCTTTCATGGTTCTGTGGATGTTGCCTGAATTCTAGGAATATAAGAGAATGGGTCACAATGACACATCCTCAGTAAACTTACAGCATATCTAAGTATGTCAGTGTGTTACCTATTGATGACCATCATCCGTCATCATGGTGACATTATAATGTGAGAGAACAGAAGGTTGCAGATTGGAAATATAATAGCCTTGGCCTAGTCGAAGTGACACATTCAACTTTCAGCACCACAAAAATGTTCAGGACCTCTTTATACCCTGTCCTTGGTGGTTTATTAACAACATGGTTTTGATGAGTGCAGCAGAATGCCGTGGCGGGACGAGACCTTCACATCGATCTCCGGCGGCTGTGTTGGGATGAGATGAGATAGAAAGGTGTCGATGATGGGGCCAGGTGGCACAGTGACAAGCCTCTAGTTGGCTGGCTACAAACAGTAAACCATGACCTCAGCAATACCCATTCTGTCTAGTAGACACAGTAAACCATGACCTCAGCAATACCCATTCTGTCTAGTAGACACAGTAAACCATGACCTCAGCAATACCCATTCTGTCTAGTAGACACACGCACACTTCAGGTGACCTTTAGAGAATGTCCAGCCAGCCAAAAGTCAGCAAGTTGTTGTCCTCAGGAGGACCCTGTGTGGCATATTTTTACTTGTCAGCTTTTTCGATCGCAAAGTTTTTGAATAGGAGTCACTCAGCATAGTCTACGCCTAAACTTCACCTTGCATTGAGATATTATGCAGATGTAAGGTTGTCCTCTCCTCCAGAGGAATGTCAAGGTGGCACAACTCCTCTCAAAAAAAAAACATACGCTCTTAGATTAAAAGGTGCTATCTAGAACCTAAAATAGTTATTTGGCTGTCCCCATAGGATAACCCTTATTGGTTCCAGGTAGAACCCTTTTGGTTCCAAGTAAAAACTATTTTGGTTTCCATGTAGAACCCTTTCAACAGAGGGTTCTACATGGAACCCAAAAGGGATTTACCTGATACCAAATACGGTTCTACCTGGAACCAAAAATGGTTCTACTATGGGGACAGCCGAAGATCCCTTTTGGAAACCTTTTTTCTAATAGTATAGTGTTGTGCTAACGAGTGTAGAAACAGTTGCCTCATTTTCATGTTTTTATATATCTATGCTCATATGTTGGAGCTCTGGAGACCTCCAGGTAGCAGCAGATGGTCAGAGCAGAGAGCTAACCTACAAGTTCCTTCACATCTGAAGAGAGCAGAGAGCTAACCTACAAGTTCCTTCACATCTGAAGAGAGCAGAGAGCTAACCTACAAGTTCCTTCACATCTGAAGAGAGCAGAGAGCTAACCTACAAGTTCCTTCACATCTGAAGAGATCAGAGAGCTAACATACAAGTTCCTTCACATCTGAAGAGAGCAGAGAGCTAACCTAGAAGTTCCTTCACATCTGAAGAGAGCAGTGATCTAACCTACAAGTTCCTTCACATCTGAAGAGAGCAGAGATCTAACCTACAAGTTCCTTCACATCTGAAGAGAGCAGAGATCTAACCTACAAGTTATTTCACATCTGAAGAGAGCAGAGAGATGGAGAGAAAGAGTGAGTGAAAGAAAGAGAACGAGAGAGAGAGAGAGACTAGGTTTATTCTGCTCTATTCAGTTGTCCTCCAGAGTAGTTTAATGCTTCTCATAAAATCTCACGTATATCAGAGGTGATTATTAGTTAATGCATCTTGGCTGGACCGGGAAGTGGTGAGTCTTACTTTCCCTTTAGCTGCAAAACCACAACTGGCCAACTCTTTGCAATGCGAGTCCTGTCGCAAAAATGTGAAATATGACTAGCTAGCCCTATTCAGACTGAGCTCAATGTGAAATATGACTAGCTAGCCCTATTCAGACTGAGCTCAATGTGAAATATGACTGGCTAGCCCTATTCAGACTGAGCTCAATGTGAAATATGACTAGCTAGCCCTATTCAGACTGAGCTCAATGTGAAATATGACTAGCTAGCCCTATTCAGACTGAGCTCAATGTGAAATATGACTAGCTAGCCCTATTCAGACTGAGCTCAATGTGAAATATGACTAGCTAGCCCTATTCAGACTGAGCTCCATGTGAAATATGACTAGCTAGCCCTATTCAGACTGAGCTCCATGTGAAATATGACTAGCTAGCCCTATTCAGACTGCGCTCCATGTGTGAGATATGGTATATGTCCTAAATGGCATCTATTCTTTATATAGTGCACTAGAGCCTTATGGGCCATGGTCAAAAGTACTGCTCTATATGAGAAATAGGGTGCCATTTGGAATGCAACCATAGAGACATTTAAACAGTGAAGAGTGTGCCATCTGGAATTGATTGTTGAGAAGTGAAACTGTTGTTTCTGTCTTCGGGAAGGGTTGTTGAATTGTTACCTCGCTCTGGTTTACTGGTTTACTGAACAGTCATTTCCTCTTGCTGCTCTGCAGCCGGCTCTCGTTCTCCCAGGTGCCAAGAGTAGACTCTGGAACGTTCTGGAAACACTTTCTGTTTTCATTTGAGTTGAGTCAGACCTTAAGTCAGACATTTCTCTCTGACTATAACTCCCCTTGTATTACATAATGAGATTAAGGAAGTTGGGTTTTGGGTGGAGAAGGGTCAGGGTTTGGAGTGGGGATCTCTTCTCTCTGACTTGTTCCAGGAGTTCCAACAATGGATTAGGCCTGTTTCTGCAACTTGGAAAGCAAAAGCACTGGCATTCTGTTTTGATTTGAGCCGGCCCTAGCCTGGCTTCCAGACTTATTGCTCCCCTGGTGGGGGTCTTATAAGAGTTTGTGGGGTTGCTGGGTTCATAGTGTCTACCCCCTCTGCCTTGGGAATGCTTGGCCATCTGGCTGGGGGTATTGTTCTCCAGACAAAGCAGAGGAGAGAAGAGGGACTTTAAACGCTGTGGATGCGCCAGGATCTTCACACAGAGTGCCTGTCCACTGCCTGCTCAGAAAACCAAGCTCAGGAATCCAGGTGAAAGGGTTTGTCTTCTCCAGTACATCAAGTAGTCATCTCTTTATCAGTCATCCCTTTATCAGTAATCCCTTATCAGTCATCCCTTTATCAGTCATCCCTTCATCAGTCATCCCTTCATCAGTCATCCCTTTATCAGTCATCCCTTTCAGTCATCCCTCTATCCCTCTGGATGTATGATAGTTTTACAGGCCATTCAGATTGCAGCTCAGAGCAGAGACGAGCAGCCTCAGGCCCTCAGCAAACACACACAGCCTTCCCCAGAAAAATCTGTCTCACAGCAAACACTCACACACAGCCTTCCCCAGAAAAATCTGTCTCACAGCAAACACTCACACACAGCCTTCCCCAGAGAAATCTGTCTCACAGCAAACACTCACACACAGCCTTCCCCAAGAAATCTGTCTCACAGCAAACACTCACACACAGCCTTCCCCAAAGAAATCTGTCTCTCAGCAAACACTCACACACAGCCTTCCCCAGAAAAATCTGTCTCTCAGCAAACACTCACACACAGCCTTCCCCAGAGAAATCTGTCTCTCAGCAAACACTCACACACAGCCTTCCCCAGAAAAATCTGTCTCTCAGCAAACACTCACACACAGCCTTCCCCAGAAAATCTGTCTCTCAGCAAACACTCACACACAGCCTTCCCCAGAGAAATCTGTCTCTCAGCAAACACTCACACAAAGCCTTCCCCAGAAAAATCTGTCTCTCAGCAAACACTCACAGCCTTCCCCAGAAAAATCTGTCTCTCAGCAAACACTCACACACAGCCTTCCCCAGAGAAATCTGTCTCTCAGCACAACCTCACACACAGCCTTCCCCAGAAAATCTGTCTTCAGCACACTCACACACGCCTCCCCAGAAAGAATCTGTCTCTCACAAACACTCACACAACAGCCTTCCCCAGAAATTGTCTTCAGCAACATTCACAACACCTTCCCCAGAAAAATCTGTCTCTCAGCAAACACTCACACACAAGCCTTCCCGATGAAACATCTATTCTCGCACATACACCACCTTCCCCAGAATCTGTTCTCAGCAAACACTCACACACAGCCTTCCGAAAACAATCTGTCTTCAGCAAACACCAACACAGCTCCCCAGAAAAAATTGTCTCTAGCAAGCACTAACACAAGCCTTCCAGAGAAATCTGTCTCTCAGCAAACACTCCACACACCTTTCCCAGAAAATCTGTCTCTCAGCAACACTCACACACCCTTCCAAATTGTCTCTCAGCAACACTCAACACAGCCTTCCCCAGAAAATCTGTCTCCACATCACTCACAACAGCCTTCCCCAGAAAATCTGTCTCTCAGCAACACTCACATAGCTCCCCAGAAAAATCTGTCTCTCAGGCAACACTCACACCAGCCTTCCCCAGAAAATCTGTCTCTCAGCAAACACTCACACAAGCCTCCCAGAAAAATCGTCTCTCAAAACACTCACACGCTTCCCCAGAGAAATTGTCTCTCAGCAAACACTCCAACAGCCTCCAGAAAATCTGTCTCTCAGCAAACACTCACACACAGCCTTCCCAGAGAATCTGTCTCTCAGCAAACGTCACACACAGCCTTCCAGAAAAATCTGTCTGTCAGCAAACACTCACAAATGCCTTCCCCAGAAAAATCTGTCTCTCAGCAATCACCACAACAGCCTTCCCCAGAGAAATCTGTCCTCAGCAAACACTCACACAAAGCCTTCCAGAAAAATCTGTCTCTCAGCAAACACTCACACACACCTTCCAAAGAATCTGCTCCAGCAAACACCACACACAGCCTTCCCCAGAGAATCTGTCCTCAGCAAAACCACATCACCAGCCTTCCCAAAATGTCTCTCAGCAAACACTCACACACAGCCTTCCCCAGAGAACTCTGTCTCTCAGCAGCACTCACACACAGCCTTCCCCAGAGAACTATACTAAGCTATATGGAATTGTTTTAAGAAGGTCATACCAATGATCATTTAGCTATTTGATTTAGAATTTTAAGACACCTTGAAGTATAAAAAATACATAAATAAAACATATTTGATGAAACATTCTATTTGGTCTTACTGCTATTAGCCCTGCTATTAGCCCATACAAACGCATTGAATAACAGATTCACTACATAGAACAACAGATAGTCCCCCACATTTTTTTAAAGGAAGTTTGTTCTGAAGTGCCTATATCGGAGAGATATAAGAAAGATCAGGAAACATGTATTATTTGTTTTGACATGTATTTAACCCCTTATTTTTGACACTAAACAGTCTCCATATATACTTCCATTCATTTTTAAACTGGTACCGGGGGACCTTCAGATGAGTCTTGTGAGTGGCGTTTTTTCATGGATGCCAAGGGAAGCCAGGCTTCCACCAAAAATTGACCAAGAAAACAAGAAAACAACATATCTAATTATTTATCGTTCGTCTATCGGTGTTTCATAATGTTCCTTAAATTCTTAAGAGGCTGAATGTATCTCAGCGGAGAAAGCATCTGAGCGAGTGAACAGCGGCTCTCTGTCTCTGTATGTGTAGGCCGTCTATCTGATGCTGTCTGTCTTGTTGCCGCCCGTAGCATTGAATGCAAGGGAAGCCAGCGTGCATTTGGCCTCCCTTGATAAAAACAAAGTATAAAATAATAGCTAAACTGAGTGAGCTCAACTGTGATTGGTCCTGGCGCACCAACTGTGATTGGTCCAGGCGCACCAACTGTGATTGGTCCTGGCGCACCAACTGTGATTGGTCCTGGCGCGCCAACTGTGATTGGTCCAGGCGCACCAACTGTGATTGGTCCTGGCGCACCAACTGTGATTGGTCCTGGCGCACCAACTGTGATTGGTCCTGGCGCGCCAACTGTGATTGGTCCAGGCGCGCCAACTGTGATTGGTCCAGGCGCACCAACTGTGATTGGTCCAGGCGCACCAACTGTGATTGGTCCTGGCGCACCAACTGTGATTGGTCCTGGCGCGCCAACTGTGATTGGTCCAGGCGCACCAACTGTGATTGGTCCAGGTGCACCAACTGTGATTGGTCCTGGCACACCAACTGTGATTGGTCCTGGCGCACCAACTGTGATTGGTCCAGGCGCACCAACTGTGATTGGTCCTGGCGCGCCAACTGTGATTGGTCCAGGCGCGCCAACTGTGATTGGTCCAGGCGCACCAACTGTGATTGGTCCAGGCGCACCAACTGTGATTGGTCCAGGCGCACCAACTGTGATTGGTCCAGGCGCGCCAACTGTGATTGGTCCTGGCGCACCAACTGTGATTGGTCCTGGCGCACCAACTGTGATTGGTCCAGGCGCACCAACTGTGATTGGTCCAGGCGCACCAACTGTGATTGGTCCTGACGCACCAACTGTGATTGGTCCAGGCGCACCAACTGTGATTGGTCCTGGCGCACCAACTGTGATTGGTCCAGGCGCGCCAACTGTGATTGGTCCTGGCGCACCAACAGAAAGTGTTAAGAGAAGCCAGCTTGGATTTGGCGTCACTCCTATCAAATCGCATTGAGAGCATTACGTCATTGACAGAAACAACTTGAATTGTTGCATCTTGTTGTGTTGTTGTTCTCCGGTGGCTAGCTAGCTAGCTAAAATTGGCCCTTTCCTAAATTAGCCATGGATAGAGAGAGGGATTTGGGCTTGTGGTTTTACTTAATTCTCTGTACTGGCCAATGATTACAACGGCGATTCTGATCCAATCATTGATTCATACATTGTGCCCCCTGGCCTGAGAGGATGGAAGTTCAATATGTAGCTAGATGGAGAAGGCTAATGTTAACTAGCCCTAATGTTCACGTTGCCCATGAAAGGAAGTTAGGCTAGTGAGCAAGCATTTTAGCCAGGTAGCCTGAGACAACAAAACATTAAAGTGTGTACTATATGACAGAGCGATAGACCGTTTCATCAACATGAAAGAGAGGAGGATGGCATTGTTGTTTCTCTACAAGTAGGGTGAGTCAACATGTTTTTTCTACTTGCCCGATCGCACACACACACACACATCAGAAACATGGACAGCCACATCATATTTAGCTGACGTTGATTGGACTAAATTGTTTTTGGTATATTTTAGTTGTCAATGTATTAGACTAAGCATAGGTGATTTGATGTTTAAAATGGTGCTGGGATAGTGGAGGCAGCTTCTGTTTTCTTTGCGACTTGCGGTAACTCTCCTTGTTGTTTAGTGGTCGAAAATGTTGAAAACATTAACTTGCTTGACCATGCTGTTTGTTACTTGCAATATGCTTTGTGGACTTCACCGGACAGAGGTTGCTCTCCGGTTTTGTGATGAAACAAAGGTGTGGTTGAATTTATTCTGCCACTGTGTCTTCTTATTGTCTCGGCCTTTAGGACTATATATCACAGTCACTGGCTTCCCTAGTGATTTTCCCACACACCGTTACTTCTAACCCCTAACCCTAATTCTAACCCTAACCCTTAACGTAACCCCTAACCCTAATTCTAACCCTAACCCTTAACGTAACCCCTAAGCCTAAAATAGCCTTTTTATAAGTGAGGACCGGCAAAATGTCCACACTTCTCAGAATTGTAGTTGGTTTGCACACACACATACACACGCACACACACACACACACACACACACACACACACACACACACACACACACACACACAGAGACAGACAATCTGAAGACAGTCCCAACAGCGAAGCCTACATCAGACATGGAGATATTAAGGTCACTGTGTTGTCACACCCTGGCTCTGGGGACTCTATATGTTGAGCCAGGGTGTGTAAATTCTATGTGATCTAGTTCTGTGTTGTATATTCTATGTATTTGTATTCTATGTTGGCCAGAGTGGTTCCCAATCAAGAGGCAACGAGTGTCAGCTGTTGCTGGTTGTCTCTGATTGGGAGCCATATTTATACAGGCTGTTTCCCCACAATAGTTGTGGGATCTTGTTCCGTTTGGTTTGTTCCGTGTTGGTTGTTAACCTAGGACGTCACGTCATCGTTTGTTGTTTTTGTTTATCGTGTATTCATTAAATAAAGTAATATGTTCGTTCATCACGCTGCGCCTTGGTCCACTCTCTCTAACGATCGTGACAGAAGATCCCACCATACCAGGACCAAGCAGCGTGTCCAGGAGCAGGTGGCCTGGACATGGGAGGAAGCGCCGGGAAAGGAGCTGGAGAGGTTGGCGATGGCCCAGGTGGGCAAATCGTGGTCCTGGGAGGACATGCTCGGGGGCAAAGGGCCATGGGCTAAGATTAAGGCCCTGGCGAGAGAGGAGCAACGGCGTCAACAGTGGCGCCGTCGGACGGACGAGAGGCAACCCCAGAAATTTTTTAGGCGGGGGCACACGGCATGGGCGACTGGGCAGCAGGAGGCTGCCACAGGGCGAAATGGGAGACGAGGAGAGAAGGCCACCGGGTTACGGGAGCCATTGGTGAGAGGAGGGAAGGAAGTTGTAGAGGCACGGCGAGAGGTACTGAGGTGTATTGCCAGTCCGGTCCGGCCCGTTCCTGATCCCCGTTTAAGGCCAGTGGTGTGTGTTCCCAGTACGGTCCGGCCTGTTCCTGTTCCTCGCACCAAGCCTACGGTGTGCGTCGCCAGCCCGGCCCGGCCTGTTCCTGCTCCTCGCACCAAGCCTACGGTGCGCGTCGCCAGCCCGGCCCGGCCTGTTCCTGCCCCTCGCACCAAGCCTACGGTGCGAGTCGTCAGCCCGGCCCGGCCTGTTCCTGCTCCTCGCACCAAGCCTACGGTGTGTGTCGTCAGCCCGGTCCAGCCCGTTCCTGCTCCACGCACCAAGCCAGGGGTGCGCATCGTCAGCCCGGTCCGGCCCGTTCCTGCTCCACGCACCAAGCCAGGGGTGCGCATCGTCAGCCCGGTCCGGCCCGTTCCTGCTCCACACACCAAGCCTACGGTGCGAGTCGTCAGCCCGGCCCGGCCTGTTCCTGCTCCTCGCACCAAGCCTACGGTGTGCGTCGTCAGCCCGGTCCGGCCCGTTCCTGCTTCACACACCAAGCCTACGGTGCGAGTCGTCAGCCCGGTCCGGCCCGTTCCTGCTCCACGCAACAAGCCAGGGGTGCGCATCGTCAGCCCGGCCCGGTCTGTTCCTGCCACTCGCACCAAGCCTACGGTGCGCGTCGCCAGCTCGGCCCGGCCTGTTCCTGCCACTCGCACCAAGCCAGGGGTGCGAGTCGTCAGCCCGGTCCGGCCCGTTCCTGCTCCACGCACCAAGCCAGGGGTGCGCATCGTCAGCCCGGTCCGGCCCGTTCCTGCTCCACGCACCAAGCCAGGGGTGCGCATCGTCAGCCCGGTCCGGCCCGTTCCTGCTCCACGCACCAAGCCAGGGGTGCGCATCGTCAGCCCGGTCCGGCCCGTTCCGGCTCCACGCACCAAGCCAGGGGTGCGCATCGTCAGCCCGGTCCGGCCCGTTCCTGCTCCACGCACCAAGCCAGGGGTGTGCGTCGTCAGTCCGGCACAACCCGTGCCTGGGTCACCGGTGCCTGGTCAGGTACCGGTCAGCTGCTCCACACCGGAGCTGAAGCTATCCGCTCCTACTATGTCCAGTTCAGCTCCAGCCAGCGGGGCCAGACCGGACCAGGGGCGCTACGGGGGGATTATTGGAGGGTGGTGGTCTAGCCCGGAGCCGGAACCGCCTCCGAGGAGGAATGCCCACCCAGCCCTCCCCTGTTTGGTTTATGTTGAGGCGCGGTCGCAGTCCGCGCCTTTGGGGGTACTGTCACACCCTGGCTCTGGGGACTCTATATGTTGAGCCAGGGTGTGTAAATTCTATGTGATCTAGTTCTGTGTTGTATATTCTATGTATTTGTATTCTATGTTGGCCAGAGTGGTTCCCAATCAGAGGCAACGAGTGTCAGCTGTTGCTGGTTGTCTCTGATTGGGAGCCATATTTATACAGGCTGTTTCCCCACAATAGTTGTGGGATCTTGTTCCGTTTGGTTTGTTCCGTGTTGGTTGTTAACCTAGGACGTCACGTCATCGTTTGTTGTTTTTGTTTATCGTGTATTCATTAAATAAAGTAATATGTTCGTTCATCACGCTGCGCCTTGGTCTACTCCGTCTAACGATCGTGACATGTGTACACTACTCTCACCTGTGCCAGCTTACAGGATGATATGATCAAAATCAAAATGCATTTAGAGTATAAAGAGAACAGGCTGTTTCTACCCCCAGTGATTTAGTCTCCATGGACATTGTAAAGAGCTTATAGGGGAAAGCCATAATACAAAATGCCTGGAATGGATCATATGAAAAGGCTGTTTCTCTGAATAGTTAGGTCCACAGCTGACCACATGGTTAGGCCTACAGCTGTAAGCTATTTTATGTATTAACTACAATCTCCAACTAGCTTAAACACTAGGCCCCATGCTTGCCTAGGCCCCCATGCTAGAAGGCAACGCTAGACAGCCAACCTCCTGGCACACCGGTTAATTGAAATGCATTCCAGGTGACTACCTCATGAAGTTGGTTGAGAGAATGCCAAGAGTGTGCAAAGCTGTCATCAAGGCAAAGGGTGGCTACTTTGAAGAATCTCAAATATAAAATATATTTTGATTTGTTTAACACTTTTTTGATTACTACAAGATTCCATGTGATAATTTTGATGTCTTCACTATTATTCTACAATGTAGAAAATAGTACAAATAAAGAAAAACCCTTGAATGAGTAGGTGTGTCCAGTTGTGGTGCAGAGTTCTTCTCAGTATAGGGTCATCTCCTAACACTGAAAGGAGATGACACATCTATCTGCCAATTAGAGAGAGATCCTCTTTGGTCTCTAAACAATATCTAATTTAGATCACACACGCATGCATGCACACACACACAGATCTCTGTTTCTGTCTCTGTTTCGGGAGCTCAGTAGATTTGGACTCACATTGGCTTTCATCTTGTTGTAAGGCTAAGCCTACATGGGAAAATAAAGATACATGGATCATTTTACCTTACAGTACATTTGGTGAAAGATTCCTAGAGCGTTTCTCTCACAACTCTGATCTCTCTGTCTGATGGTAACAATGATGATGATCAATTATGATGATCAGACCACCACTGTGGCCTACTACAATACAATCTCCCTGACTGATCTAATGATTGGGTGAATCTTTAAAGTATTTTCTTGCATCCTTGCATCCTTGATTCCTTGCCTCTTCCACAAAAGATCCAACGTTCGACAGCCATCTTCCATATTCCTGTTCTTCCTGGTTCTGGAATAGATACGATGAGAAGAACGTGAGCAAAACGTGTTTTTTGGAAACTATCTCCAGCCAATCAGCTCACGGGACATCAATGTAAGGAGATTAAAACCATTCATGTTTTCTTCTCTGCTGAGACAATGTAGCTAAGACATGTCTGGGGGTTTCAGCTCTATGTTCGGACGATTAGACAAGCTAGATCTTCACATACTCTTTAATATACACGGCACGTACTGCTGCATAGCTTACAGTATACTATCTATTATCTGGCTATGAACACGGCATCCCTTTAGAAGAAGAGCTATTGGTAGACTAGTACCCTAGTGAGGGACGCCACAGGCTACTCCATGGGGTGTAAAATCTCAAAATCTAAACGGAAGCGGGATGAAAGTTACCCTTGGGGGTCTGACGGGGGCTGGTACTAGCAGGGGGTCTGGGGTGGGGGCGAGGGGGCTCAAGGTTGCCGATCTCAGAGCAAAGAGGAAGGATACTGCAGCGCTAGCAGGTTCTAATACTACGCAGTCTTGTTGCTAGGATACACTGCTTTTTTTACTGTGTTTTGCGCATTCTTTCTTTCCTACTCAGCTCCGCTCTCTCTCACTCAATCTCTCTCTCCCCCTCAATATCGCGATCGTCCTCCCTCAATCTCCGCGCGTCCCCTCCCAATCTTTCTCGCCCCCTCAATCTCTCTCTCACCCTCAATCTGCTCTCCCCTCAATCGCTCTATCTCGTCATCTCTATCTCTCTCTCGCTCTCTCTCTCGCTCTTCTCGTGTTCTCTCTCCTCTCTCTCTCTCTCTCTCTTCTCTCTATCTCTCTCTCTCCTCTCTTCCTCTCTCTTCTCTCTCTCTCTATCTTGTTCTCTCTCTCTCTCTATTTGTTCTCTCTTCTCTCAACCCCCCCACTCCCCTCTTCTCTCTCTATCCCTCTCTCTCTTTATCGTTTTACTCACACTCTCCCCCTGCTTTCTCTCTAACCCCCCTCCCACCCTCTCTCTCTCTCTCGCTCTCTCTCTGTCTCTCTCTCTCTCTCGGTCTCTCTTCTCTCTCGTCTCTCTCTCTTCTCTCTCTCTCTATTCTCTCTCTCTTTTTCCCGTCTCTTTCTCTCTCCCTGTCTCTCTATTTTACTTCCCTCCTCGACAAGTTTGACCTGTCACTTTTGTGTTTGTTTAACTTCAAAGCGAGTTCTTGTTGGGAAAGAATGCCAGCTAGCAGGATTGGATCCACCGTTTCCTGGTTGTATAGCTGTAGATGAGAAACAGTTGTTATTTTAGCTGCATGGAGCACATGGTCCCATTCATTCAAACACTAGGCCTACTTGGAACAGACCGACAAACCCTGAACATAGGCCTAACACAAAACATGAATAATCGCTTCTACAAAGACCCATGGTAGAATTCAAACTTCCCAGCCTAATTGTGAAGCACTCTGTCTAGAGTAGTGACAACCTTGGATGATGTTTGCTTTGTGAGCCTAAATCGAACCACTCTAGGGGAAACACTGGAATGAGTAAAATATTGATATATTGTTGAATGTCAATCTTGGTTCTCAGTGTGCATCTCCTTATCCTAACCTTACGATGGTGGCCCATTTTTCTCACGAAACTGTGGGCTCAGACACACCAGTACTGAGCACCTCTGAACGTCATTTGAGAACCGATTGCACACCGATTTGACATGTAGAATCGCGTGAACAATGTCGGCAGTCAGGCGTCTACAGCAGCTGGTCCCTAAAACAGCGCGCTGAACGATCGGCAGACGGACGCCAGATCAACATTCGGTGGTTTAGAGTTACATAAAGCTGCTCTACCTCATCTGGATAGAGAAAAGTAGAGTTTCCTGCCGGCAGCCACAGCTGATGGCTGGCCATCCCCTGTACCACAGCTGAGGGCAGTTAGGATGTGTGGAAAAACTAACTTCATTCACCAATGCGGGGAGAGAGGCGCGAGAGGCGAGAGAGAGAAGCGAGCGAGAGAGAGGGAGAGAGAGAGAGGGCGGAGGAGAGGAGCGAGGAGCGGCGAGGCGAGAGAGAGCTGAGAGAGAGAGGAGGGAGAGAGAGAGACGCGAGAGAGAGAGATGAGAGGGGGCTGAGAGAGGAGCGCAGAGAGGAGAGGAGAGATATGAGAGGAGAGATGAGAGAGCGCGAGAGAGCCGAGAAGAGGATGCGCGACGAGAGACGCGAGAGAGGGAGAGAGCGAGACAGAGAGAGAGAGAGAGAGAGAGAGAGAGAGAGAGAGAGAGAGACTAAACATACATCTCCATCTGCAGGGGAAGGAACACACCATGCCCATTACAATGAAGTCAAAGAGAGATGGGGAGTGAGAGAGTGCCTGGGGTCTGGCTGGTGTGGTTTAACTTCAAAGGGAGTCTGTCAAACTTAGCCCAGTGTCTGACTGACTAGATGTCAGAATAAGACCTGTCACTGAGCTGAATATCAGAGAAAACTGTGCCTAGAAGTTGGCCTGTGAGCACTGATCTAGGATCAGTATACACTCTCTGAATCATAACCTTAAGCACTGTAACACAAATCGAACCTGAGTAACAGAAAACACTATACCAAAAGTATGTGGACACCTGCTCGTCGATCATCTCATTCCAAAATTATGGGCATTAATATGGAGTTGGTGCCCCTTTTGCTGCTATAACAGCCTCCGCTCTTCTGGAAAGGCTTTCCACTAGATGTTGGAACATTGCTGTGGGGACTTGCTTCCATTCAGCCACAAGAGCATTAGTGAGGTAGGGCACTCAGGTTGGGCGATTAGGCCTGGCTCGCAGTTGGCGTTCCAATTCATCCCAAAGGTGTTAGATGGGGTTGAGGTCAGGGCTCTGTGCAGGCCAGGCAAGTTCTTCCACACTGATCTCGACAAACCATTTCTGTATGGACCTCGCTTTGTGCACAGGGGCATTGTCATGCTGAAACAGGAAAGGGCCTTCCTCAAACGGTTGCCACAAAGTTGGAAGCACAGAATCATCTAGAATGTCATTGTATGCGGTAAGGTTATGATTTCCCTTCACTGGAACTAAGGGATTTAGCCCAAACCATGAAAAACAGCCCCAGACATTATTCCTCCTCCACCAAACTTTACAGTTGGCACTATGCATTGGGGCAGGTAGCGTTCTCCTGGCGTCCGCCAAACCCAGATTTGGGTCTGACGCTTGGCATTGCGCATGGTGATCTTAGGCTTGTGTGCGGCTGCTCAGCCATGGAAACCCATTTCATGAAGCTCCCGACGAACAGTTATTGTGCTGACGTTGCTTCCAGACGCAGTTTGGAACTCGGTACTGAGTGTTGCAACCGAGGACAGACGATTTTTTACGCGCTATGCGCTTCATTACTGGGCGGCCCCGTGAGCTTGTGTGGCCTACCAATTCGCGGCTGAGCCGTCGTTGCTCCTAGACGTTTCCACTTCACAATAACAGCACTTACAGTTGACCGGGGCAGCTCTAGCAGGGCAGAAATGTGACGAACTGACTTGTTGGAAAGGTGGCATCCTATGATGGTGCCACGTTGAAAGTCACTGAGCTCTTCAGTAAGGCTATTCTACTGCCAATGTTTGTCTATGGAGATTGCATGACTGTGTGCTCAATTTTATACACCTGTCAACAACGGGTGTGGCTGAAATAGCCGAATCCACTAATTTGAAGGGGTGTCCACATACTTTTGTATATATAGTGTACAGTATATACCGTATATATACCGGGTATTTCAATCTCTGTCACATGAAACCTCTCCCATATGCAGTCCCTTTTGACAACAGTAATTTCCCGCTAATTGCATTATGGAACGAAACATTCGCGCAAAGCCTACTGCCTTGTGCACTTATAATGTGAATAGATAATAGTATATCAACATTTTAAGCTAAATGTTCTGATCAGTTACATCAGACAGTTTTTTTATGTAGCCTAGGCCTACTGGTTGGGATCTATCGGGCCACAACTGTCCCAGAGTCAGTTTGGAATAGGCTATTTCTTTCTCGACAAGCTGACCAATAGAATAGGTTCACTTTTCTACTATGGGGGGGGGGTATTAGATTAACATAGGCTAGTGATTTTGCTGTTCGTTATTCGTCTTGTTGGTGAGGAAAAGTACATGTGGACAGTTATTCTAACATCTTCAAAGTGCACATCAGAATTCGGTAAGAATGACCGCACAGCGTTGCATCCTCGATTTGCATGTTCTGTTAATATGAATGACCATAATCTAAATGTGATTTCTGTCATTCTGAGCACTGTGGGTGGACGCCCTAATCAGGTTACGCACCCAATGCATATGGGTCCGGCGAATTTCTCAAATGTCCCGGTAAATGAAGATGTTGCTGGTCAAATGTCTGGTGCCACATTTTCCTAATGGAAACCCTGGTTTGTAAATAGGACAACGGGAGAAAGCAGGAGATGGTGAGTCCATAGCGTTCTATAGGAGTCTCTGTTGTGTGGCGCACATACATGAGGTGATGAAGTTACACTCGTATGCAATTCACTACTAAATGTTTGCCATTAGATATCTTATAATGGCTTTCTGTCAGAAGTCAAAGAGCTCTGGATGAGTTCTGTACAGCTGCAGTATACAGTACATTATAGCAGTATACAGTACATTATAGCAGTATACAGTACATTATAGCAGTATACAGTACATTAGCATTATAGTTCTGTTGTACTTTCCACTTCTCTCCAGCTAAGCTGGGCTCAGTGTGTCTATGACTGTGTGTTCTATCCAGGTGACTGTGTGTTCTATCCAGGTGACTGTGTGTTCTATCCAGGTGACTGTGTGTTCTATCCAGGTGACTGTGTGTTCTATCCAGGTGACTGTGTGTTCTATCCATGTGACCGTGTGTTCTATCCAGGGTGACTGTGTGTTTTATCCAGGTGATCTGTGTGTTCTATCCAGGTGACGTGTGTCTATCCAGGTGACTGTGTGTTTCTATCCAGGTGATGTGTGGTTCAATCCGGTGACTGTGTGTTCTATCCAGTGACTGTGTGTTTCTACTCCGGTGACTGTGTTTCTATCCAGGTGGACTGTGTGTTCTATCCAGGTGACTGTGTGTTCTATCCAGGTGACTGTGTGTTCTATCCAGGTGACTGTGTGTTCTATCCAGGTGACTGTGTGTTCTATCCAGGTGACTGTGTGTTCTATCCAGGTGACTGTGTGTTCTATCCAGGTGACTGTGTGTTTTATCCAGGGCTCATGCCTCTCCCTGGCGGCTCCCCTGGAAGAAAGGTCATTGTAGCGTGAGATGGAGAGGTGGGGAGAGGGAGAGAGAGAGGAGAGACATTAGATGGCCAGTCAGGCAGAAACATCTCATGTGCAGACACATACATCTGACAGATACTACAGTATACACACACCATTACCTAGCAGCAGAACAGAAATCCTAGCTCTGTCAGTGGGTATAGGAGGCTATGAGCCCATAGCTCTGTCAGTGGGTATAGGAGGCAATGAGCCCATAGCTCTGTCAGTGGGTATAGGAGGCAATGAGCCCATAGCTCTGTCAGTGGGTATAGGAGGCTATGAGCCCATAGCTCTGTCAGTGGGTATAGGAGGCTATGAGCCCATAGCTCTGTCATGGGTATAGGAGGCTATGACCCATAGCTCTGTCAGTGGGTATAGGAGGCTATGAGCCCATAGCTCTGTCAGTGGGTATAGGAGGCAATGACCCATAGCTCTGTCGTGGGTATAGGAGGCTATGAGCCCATAGCTCTGTCCAGTGGGTATAGGAGGCTATGAGCCCATACTCTGCCAGTGGGTATAGGGAGGGCTATGAGCCCATAGCTCTGGTCAGTGGGTATAGGAGGCTATGAGCCCATAGCTCTGTCAGTGGGTATAGGAGGCTATGACCCATAGCTCTGTCATGGGGTATAGGAGGCTATGAGCCCATAGCTCTGTCAGTGGGGTAAGGAGGCTATGAGCCCATAGCTCTGTCAGTGGGTAATAGGAGGCAATGAGCCCATAGCTCTGTCAGTGGGTATGGAGGCAATGAGCCCATAGCTCTGTCAGTGGGTATAGGAGGCTATGAGCCCATAGCTCTGTCAGTGGGGGTATAGGAGGCTATGAGCCCATAGCTCTGTCAGTGGGTATAGGAGGCTATGAGCCCATACTCTGTCATGGGTATAGGAGGCTATGAGCCCATAGCTCTGTCAGTGGGGTATAGGAGGCTATGAGCCCATAGCTCTGTCAGTGGGTATAGGAGGCTATGGCCCATAGCTCTGTCAGTGGGTATAGGAGGCTATAGCCATAGCTCTGTCAGTGGGTATAGGAGGCTATGAGCCCATAGCTCTGTCAGTGGGTATAGGAGGCTATGAGCCCATAGCTCTGTCATGGGTATGGAGGCAATGAGCCCATAGCTCTGTCAGTGGGTATAGGAGGCTATGAGCCCATAGCTATGTCAGTTTGGGGATAGGAGGCTATGAGCCCATAGCTCTGTCAGTGGGTATAGGAGGCAATGAGCCCATAGCTCTGTCAGTGGGTATAGGAGGCTATGAGCCCATAGCTCTGTCAGTGGGTATAGGAGGCTATGAGCCCATAGCTCTGTCAGTGGGTATAGGAGGCTATGAGCCCATAGCTCTGTCAGTGGGTATAGGAGGCATGAGCCCATAGCTCTGTCAGTGGGTATAGAGGCTATGAGCCCATAGCTCTGTCATGGGTATAGGAGGCTATGAGCCCATAGCTCTGTCCTGTGGGTATAGGAGGCATGAGCCCATAGCTTCTGTCAGTGGGTATAGGAGGCTATGAGCCCATAGCTCTGTTCAGTGGGTATAGGAGGCAATGAGCCATAGCTCTGTCAGTGGGTATAGGAGGCAATGAGCCCATAGCTCTGTCAGTGGGTATAGGAGGCTATGAGCCCATAGCGCTGTCAGTTGGGTATAGGAGGCAATGAGCCCATAGCTCTGTCAGTGGGTATAGGAGGCAATGAGCCCATAGCTCTGTTCAGTGGGTATAGGAGGCTATGAGCCCATAGCTCTGTCAGTGGGTATAGGAGGCTATGAGCCCATAGCTCTGTCAGTGGGTATATGGAGGCTATGAGCCCATAGCTCTGTCAGTGGGTATAGGAGGCAATGAGCCCATAGCTCTGGTCCAGTTGGTATAGGAGGGCTATGAGCCCATAGCTCTGTCAGTTGGGTATAGGAGGCAATGAGCCCATAGCTTCTGTCATGGGTATAGGAGGCTATGAGCCCATAGCTCTGTCAGTGGGTATAGGAGGCCATGAGCCCATAGCTCTGTCAGTGGGTATAGGAGGCTATGAGCCCATAGCTCTGTCAGTGGGTATAGGAGACTATGAGCCCATAGCTCTGTCAGTGGGTATAGGAGGCAATGAGCCCATAGCTCTGTCAGTGGGTATAGGAGGCTATGAGCCCATAGCTCTGTCAGTGGGTATAGGAGGCTATGAGCCCATAGCCCTGTCAGTGGGTATAGGAGGCTATGAGCCCATAGTTCTGTCAGTGGGTATAGGAGGCAATGAGCCCATAGCTCTGTCAGTGGGTGTAGGAGGCTATGAGCCCATAGCCCTGTCAGTGAGTATAGGAGGCTATGAGCCCAAAGCTATGTCAGTGGGTATAGGAGGCAATGAGCCCATAGCTCTGTCAGTGGGTATAGGAGGCTATGAGCCCATAGCTCTGTCAGTGGGTATAGGAGGCTATGAGCCCATAGCTCTGTCAGTGGGTATAGGAGGCTATGAGCCCATAGCTCTGTCAGTGGGTATAGGAGGCAATGAGCCCATAGCTCTGTCAGTGGGTATAGGAGGCTATGAGCCCATAGCTCTGTCAGTGGGTATAGGAGGCTATGAGCCCATAGCTCTGTCAGTGGGTATAGGAGGCTATGAGCCCATAGCTCTGTCAGTGGGTATCAGAAGCTATGAGCCCATAGCTCTGTCAGTGGGAATAGGAAGCTATGAGCCCATAGCTCTGTCAGTGGGAATAGGAGGCTATGAGCCCATAGCTCTGTAGACTAGAGAGCCTTTGGGAGCAAATCCATAACGAGCCACGGAGGTTTAGAATAGGTTGGATTGGCATGTTGTCATTGCTATCTTTCATAATGCCTTTGAAATAAGGTGTAGTGTTAACATTTCACTTCTAAGTATATGTCTCTGTTAAATCCAGTTGTTTGACGCTGTTTGATGCAAAGCAATTATTGTAATGCCTTTGTATAGTCTGGCTATATGTTTGATGTTTGAGTTATTACAGTTAGACTCATTGTAGGATGAGTTCATGCCATGTCTCTAAACATTGTTCATTTTGATATTTTCTGCAGAATCCTCTGATTCTGGTTAGGGCTGGGAATTACCAGGGACGTAACGACACGATATTATCACGATACTTAGGTGCCGATACGATATGTATTGTGATTCTCATGATTCTATATGTATTGAGATTGGATGTTCCGAACATATTGCTCACCATATGTCTGCTACAGAGGGACAAGAGAGAGCCATGAGAAAAACAGTTTTGATCAGTCATGGAAATAAAAGTGCTGATAACAAATTGGCTCCTTATTTACAGTTTTCCCAATTGTTAACACACGTTTGCTGAAACTACATCTCAGGTACTCAAAACTGTAAACACAAAACACAAAACAGTTAGCCAATTTCCCCAAAACCCCACAGACATCTTGCAAAATGAAACACAGCAATCAAAATCATGTACTCCCTGCTCAAAATGAAACTGCATATAAATGAGACACACACACATCAGATGAGATCACACTAATGTGACACATTCAAAACACTACTATCAGAACCTATTTCAGTGTAAAGACTAAGATTTTGTTGCTATACTGTATATTGTTTGTGTACTCAAACAAGAAAGGAAAACAAATTTGTACTACTGTACTGTATGTTAGATCAATTGTACGGAATAGATAAAGAAACTGTCAAAATACAGTAAAATCATAAGTCAAGAAACAAATACTCCATTGCAAAAACAAAATCAGTCATGCCTGTTGTTTTGGTCCAGCTACAGATTTTCATCAACATCACAGGCGATATTCTCCTTGGCCAGACAGCGGGGGAAATATCTTCTGGCATCCACCCCTGACAGGACTCTGCTGGAATGTCACCACAGGCCTCCTCCATTGCCTGGAGAAGGGCCATACGTTCATGGGGTTTGGGATCATACACCTTCCACCGCCACGCTGAAAACAACTCCTCAATGGGGTTGAGAATTGGGGAATATGGTGGGAGATAGAGAACTGTAAACCTGGGATGGTCATGTATACCAGTTGTGGACCTGAGCAGCCTGATGGAAACTCACGTTGTCCCAAATTAGAACATCCATTTGCTGCTCAGGATCACCTGGCCCTCTCTGCTCTGGCTGAAAAAGATTGTCTTGTAAGGTGTTCAGGAAATTAAGGAGATGGTCAGTGTTGTATTGTCCAAGGGTGGCATGGCGGTGGAGGACCCCATTGTGGCTCATAGCTGGGCATCTGGTGACATTTCCCCCACGCTGGCCAGGTTCCTCAATGACGGCTCGTTGACCAATGAGGTTCCTTCCTCTCCTCCTCGTCTTTGCTAAATTGAATCCAACCTCCTCTATGAATATGAGTTCCTGGGGGATGGGACTTGCATCCAACTCCACAAGTCTCTGAAATGACAGTAAATACTGTAATTGCTGAATAGTAAAGTTCACTGGCAACATCAATGAGTCTCTGTTTCAAGAGTGTAATACTAGTACATTACTTACTTGCACATATTCGTACCGTTTATCCTTCAGTCTTTGGGAATTCCTTTCAAATGGGACTCCGTAGATTTGCTTCATCCGGAAATTGTGTTTCTTAAGGATGCGGGCTATGGTTGATAAACTCACTGATGTTATGAAAGGTTTTCAATAATCTGTTGTTTGATTTCCCGCAGTCTTATGGCATTATTTTCAACCACCATTTGCACAGTGGCAGCCTCCTGTTGGACTGTAAATAGACACGTTCTATTTAGTCTTTCAGTTTGTACAAAAACCAAATAGCACACAGTGCAGTAAACACTACAGTAATACAGTATACAACATAAACATGTTACAAAGTAGTATCGCTCCCAGTTTCCTCCATCCAGTAATACATGAAACATTGACTTTGTTTCCCCTTACAGTATGTATTGGAATCTACAGTCTTTACTGTGCTTTATGTAGTGCTAGTGTCAAGTAGTAAAAGTAGTAGAGAGGTCTAATGTCTGCAGTACATACCTATTGTCATTTTGGAACGTCCTGATAATGGACGCTACGATGAAGCGGCTCAGAATGGGCTGCACTCTCTGCTCAGCCTCTCTCAAGGTCAAACCATGGTTGACCACATGGTCCACCACAGTCGCCCAAATTTCATCAGAGATTACTCTCCTTGTTCTTGGTCTTCCTCCACCTCTACCTCCACCTCCACCTCCACCTCCACCTCCACCTCCACCTCCACCTCCACCTCCACCTCCACCTCCACCCCCACCTCCATCTCCACCTCCACCCCCCACCTCCACCTCCACCTCCACCTCCACCCCCACCTCCACCTCCACCTCCACCTCTACCTCTACCTCCACCTCCACCTCTACCTCCACCTCCACCTCTACCCCCACCTCCACCTCCACCCCCACCTCTACCTCCACCTCCACCTCCACCTCCACCTCCACCTCCACCTCTACCTCTACCTCCACCTCTCCTTGCTAAGTTTGCTTCCATTGTTCTCCAAACACAGTACTCACCTGTGACATTTTTATCTATCCTAAAAGTCTGATTTAAAAGTGAAGATTTACACAATTAGTGTTTGCACATGTGAAGAGTGAAAGTGATCAATTGGTAATTGAGTTTAGCTTGTTGAACAGTGTTGCTTTTCATTTGCACACAAGATATTTTAGTTGTGAAGGTTGTGCCAAAGGTAGAGCGTTGTGTGTTGTGTTTTGCCAAATTGTTATAGAATTGCAATCTGAGTGTAAAGCAAAACATGTGCCAGTAGTATTGCAGATTTGGTGTCTGGTTCTGTTAAATTAGTTACAGGTTTGGGTCAGATTTGGTGTATGGTTCTGCTAAATGAGTTACAGGTTTGGGTCAGATTTGGTGTCTGGTTCTGCTAAATGAGTTACAGGTTTGGGTCAGATTTGGTGTACGGTTCTGCTAAATGAGTTACAGGTTTGGGTCAGATTTGGTGTCTGGTTCTGATAAATGAGTTACAGGTTTGGGTCAGATTTGGTGTCTGGTTCTGCTAAATTAGTTACAGGTTTGGGTCAGATTTGGTGTCTGGTTCTGCTAAATGAGTTACAGGTTTGGGTCAGATTTGGTGTCTGGTTCTGCTAAATGAGTTACAGGTTTGGGTCAGATTTGGTGTCTGGTTCTGCTAAATTAGTTACAGGTTTGAGTCAGATTTGGTGTCTGGTTCTGCTAAATGAGTTACAGGTTTTGGTCAGATTTGGTGTCTGGTTCTGCTAAATGAGTTACAGGTTTGGGTCAGATTTGGTGTCTGGTTCTGCTAAATTAGTTACAGGTTTGAGTCAGATTTGGTGTCTGGTTCTGCTAAATGAGTTACAGGTTTTGGTCAGATTTGGTGTCTGGTTCTGCTAAATGAGTTACAGGTTTGGGTCAGATTTGGTGTCTGGTTCTGCTAAATGAGTTACAGGTTTGGGTCGGATTTGGTGTCTGGTTCTGCTAAATGAGTTACAGGTTTGAGTCAGATTTGGTGTATGGTTCTGCTAAATGAGTTACAGGTTTGGGTCATTGTGCCTCATGGGCCAGTTTTTGTGTATAAACAATTGGGGAAAGACTGTAAAAAGAAGATGGAGAACAAGCTAAAATGGAAAGATACTGGAGTTGGACCATATTAAAGCCATGCGTCCTCCAAAACACGACCCTGCCAAGCTGCACTGCTTCTTGACACACTGCTCGCTTAACCCGGAAGCCAGCCGCACCAATGTTTTGGAGGAAACGCCGTACAACTGGCAACCAAAGTCAGCTTGCAGGCACCCGGCCCCCATTTTTTACATTTACATTTACATTTTCGTCATTTAGCAGACGCTCTTATCCAGAGCGACTTACAAATTGGTGCATTCACCTTATGATAGCCATTTTTTGGGGGGTGGGGTAAGGGGGGGTAGAAGGATTACTTTATCCTATCCCAGGTATTCCTTAAAGAGGTGGGGTTTCAAGTGTCTCCGGAAGGTGGTGAGTGACTCCGCTGTCCTGGCGTCGTGAGGGAGCTTGCTCCCCCACAAGGAGACAAGGACATCCGGCCGGCCAAACCCTCCCCTAACCCGGACGACACTGGACCAATTGTGCGCCGCCTCATCGGTCTCTTTAATCTGGGGTTATTTAACTGGGGTTGTGTGTCGTGTTACCTGGACTGCATGGTGTGTGTGTGTGTGTGTGTGTGTGTGTGTGAGGCCACGTTAGAGAGCGGTCAGTCTTAAAGCAAAGGTCACAGGTCAACCTTACAGGGAAAACATAATTATAGTATTGCTATGAATCTACTGATTCAGATAGCTGGCTGACTTGGGACAGTATTGACTTTCAATGGGCTGGGTTTTGTTTGTACATTTAGAAAGCCATTTGAAAGGTGATGAATTGACTGAATGAGGCTAGTACTATAAATGAGGCTAGTACTATAAATGAGGCTAGTACTATAAATGAGGCTAGTACTGTAAATGAGGCTAGTACTATAAATGAGGCTAGTACTATAAATGAGGCTAGTACTGTAAATAAGGCTAGTACTATAAATGAGGCTAGTACTATAAATGAGGCTAGTAAACTAATAAATGAGGCTAGTACTGTAATGAGGCAGTACTATAAATGAGGCTGTAAATGAGTAGTACTATAAAATGAGGCTAGTACTGTAAATGAGGCTAGTACTGTAAATGAGGCTAGTACTATAAATGAGGCTAGTACTATAAATGAGGCTAGTACTATAAATGAGGCTAGTACTATAAATGAGGCTATTACTATAAATGTTGACAAACAGTGAATCTGTGTCGATGCTTTGATCATAGGCATTGGTTCGTGAAGAGTGACAGAGAGAGAGAGAGAGAGAGAGAGATGTCCTCCGTGTACATTGTAAAACAACAAATAATGCATGCAGAGCAGAATTAGGCCGATACCTGCTAACTATCAAAATCCAGAAAAGAGACGTTAAATTCTACAATCACCTAAAAGGAAGCGATTCCCAAACCTTCCATAACAAAGCCATCACCTACAGAGAGATGAACCTGGAGAAGAGTCCCCTAAGCAAGCGGGTCCTGGGGCTCTGTTCACAAACACAAACAAACTCCACAGAGCCCCAGGACAGCAACACAATTAGACCCAACCAAATCATGAGAAAACAAAAAGATAGTTACTTGACACGTTGGAAAGAATTAACAAGCTGAGCAAACTAGAATGCTATTTGACACTAAACAGAGAGTACACAGTGGCAGAATACCTGACCACTGTGACTGACCCAAACTTAAGGAAAGCTATGTACAGACTCAGTGAGCATAGCCTTGCTATTGAGAAAGGCCGCCGTAGGCAGACCTGGCTCTCAAGAGAAGACAGGCTATGTGCACACTGCCCACAAAATGAGGTGGAAACTGAGCTGCACTTCCTAACTCCTGCCAAATGTATGACCATATTAGAGACACATATTTCCCTCAGATTACAGACCCACAAAGAATTCGAAAACAAACCCAATTTTGATAAACTCCCTTATCTACTGGGTGAAATACCACAGTGTGCCATCACAGCAGCAATATTTGTGACCTGTTGCCACAAGAAAAGGGCAACCAGTGAAGAACAAACACCATTGTAAATACAACCCATATTTATGTTTATTTATTTTCCCATTTGTCATTACAACACTGTATATAGACATAATATGACATTTGAAATGTCTTTATTCTGTTGGAACTTTTGTGAGTGTAATGTTTATTTCACTTGCTTTGGTTATGTAAACATATGTTTCCCATGCCAATAAAGCCCCTTGAATTGAATTGAGATGCAGAGAGAGAGAGAGAAAGAGAAAGAGAGAGAGTTGCAGAGACAGAGAGAGAGAAAGAGAGATACAGAGACGAGAGAGATATAGAGAGATACAGTAGAGAGAGACACACAGAGGGAAAGAGAGAGAGAGAGAGCAATGCAGAGAGCGAGAGCGAGAGAGAGAGAGAGAGAGAGCGAGAGAGAGAGAGAGAGAAGAGAGAGAGGGGGGGGGGGGAAAGGGGGGGAAAAAGAGGATAGAAGAAAAAAGTTGGGGAGGGGGGAGGGAGGGGATAATAATTTCTTTCTTCCCCTTTGGCGCTCTTCCCCCGCTCTCCGCTTTCCCCTCTCCCCTTTCCCATCTGTTCTCTTTTTTTCTACTTTCTTTCTTTCTTTCTTCTTTTTTTCTTCTTTCTTTTTCTTTTTTTTTTTTTCTTCTTTCTTCTCTTCTCCTTCTCTCTCTCTCTTTTTCTCTCTCCCTCCTCTCCTCCTCTCCTTTCTTTTCCCCTCTCTCTCTCCTTTTCTCTCTCTCCTCTTCTCTTTTCTCTCTCTCTCTCTCTCTCTCTTTTTCAACCCCTTCCTTCCCCAACCCTCTTTTCCATCTCCTAATTGGGAAATTTTCCCCTTTTTTTCCCCCACCTGTGCACACACCCCAAAAACCCCGCCCACACCAAACAAACACACAACCACACCCACCCACCACACACAACACCCACATACCACATTACTAATATCCTAATCTCAAACCCCGGGGAAAATAGAAACTTCTTTTAACTTGATGAAACCGGCTGAACTGGTAGGGGGCTAAAAAATGTATTAAACCCATTCTGGGTGAAAATGAGTAGGGACTAACAGGGGTTATAAAACCCATTCATGGCTGAACATAGTGACTTAAAGCAGTGATATGAGACCCATATATGGCTAAAATGAAGGTGATTAAAACTTATAACCCTTCGGGGTGAACTGTGTGCTTAAAAGGGTGTTAAAACCCTTCATGGCTTGTAATGGGTAGGTGGTTTCTTTCTTTTACCTTCTAATCCTTGAATTCCCCCCAGTTCCTACCTCTCCCGCCGAAATTTTTACAAAATTTCATCTTTTTTGTCCCCCTCCTCTCCCCATGAAGTCTGTGTATCAAGAGTCGCCAGGCTATTCCTGACCCAATTTTTTTCCCCAAAAAACCCCCCCATAACCAAAAATAAGGAAATCCACTATCAACAACACAGGAAGGGCGGGAATGGCCCCACCCTTGCTCCGGTTTTCTTAATTTTTTTTTGCACCATGCCCTTTTCCCTGTGGAGGTCACCACCAACATTGGGGAGGGAGAAGGGGGGATAATTGGGGGAATTTGGAAGGGTAATAGGGAAGGGGTTTTTTTTAATAGGGAAAATATTATGCCCCGGGGTCATTCCTTTTCCCCCCCCTCTTCCTTTTCCCTCGCCCTTCTTTCTTTTTCTCTTTCTCCTCTTTTTCTTCCCTTTCCTTCTTTTCCCCTCTTCCCCCCTTTTTTCGGGGGAAAAAAAAAAACGGGGGGAAAAAAAGAAACATTCTTTAACTTGCCATTTCACCCTTTTGAGGGGGGACATTCCTCGAAATCATCAACTTAAACAAATAGGACTTTGGTCCAGGGAACACCTTGGCAAAATCCAATCACATTGAGACTCTAAGGAAACGGTTCTCATTCAGACTTGGCCCTTTTAAACCCCCCAACAAAAAAATGTTCTGGTAATGTTCAGGACTATTTTTTTTCTTTTCTGAAAAGTTTTGGGACCAAAAATTTGGCCTGAAATTTGATTAAAGTGATTAACCCCCCGCAAAGGGGATTTTAAAAAACCCATTTCGTTGGGGGGGAAAAAACTAAAATTTAGAAAAGGAAACTTAAAAGGTTTTTTTTTTTTTTGGGAATAGCCCATAACTGTGTTAAAGATGAGGTATTTTGCCCTTTCCCCCCCCCAAAAAACCAATAAATCCATGGGAAATCCCTATCGACCCGGGAAGGGGAATTTTCCCACCCCCCTTTTTTTTCCGGGTTTTTAATGTGTTTTGACACCACCCCTTTTCCCTTAAGTCACCCCAACAGGGGAAAGTAGGGGAAAAAAAAGAAAAGAAGGAGAGGAGGGAAAAATGGGAGGGGGAAGGGGAAAGGGGGGGGGAAAACCCCAAAAAAAAAAAGGAGGGAGGAAAGGGGAAAGAGAGGGAAGAAAAAAGGGGAGAGAAAAAAGGGGGAGGGAGGGGTTTTTGGGGCGGGAAATTTTTCCCCCCCCCCCCCCAAAGGGGGAAGGACCATTTTAACCCTTGCCATTTCACCCTTTGAGGGGCCATTCCTCGAGTCCTGAACAAAACAAAAGAATTGGGTCGGGAAAAAATTGGGCAAGATAATTGGGCTCTGGGGAAAGGTTTTCAAAAATCCTTTAAACCCTAAAAAAAAATTTTCTAATTTCAGGACAAAAGGTTTTTTTTCAAAATTTGGGCTCCATTTATTTCCCGTTATAAAAAAATCCAGTTTTCATCTCTCTCTCTCTCTCTCTCTCTCTCTCTCCCTCTCCCTCCATTTTCTTCTCTGATGTCAGCACTGAGGCTGTAGGCGTGTGTCAGGTCTGACAATGTGAGAGAGTGGCACCACGTTGAAAGATTAAAACAATATGTTGCTGCCTCCTCTCATAAAGGGAGATTTGACGTGACTTTATAAATAGATAGCCTGTATTCTTAGCCTGTATTGTGTTCTGTATTCTTCAGTACACACACACGCACAACCACAAACACACACACACACACACACACACACACACACACACTTCTGTGTTCTTCCACACAGAAGGAGGACCCTCTCAGAATCCTCTTTAATCTGTCTCGTAGGAGGAGATCTCATGGGATTGTCTCGGCTCAACTGGAGTTACTTTAGAGTCAGAACTAGGGCCTGGAGTTGTTCCTGACTACGTGACATGACCAGTAAAAACTCTGTGTCCTAGCTTATAGGAAGAGGCTATAGCCTAACCAGGTTATTCCTCATCAGGTGAGCTGACCCAAAAACACTATAGTCATAAATAAATCCATCAGAACCTTTCGTAATAGAAGCCTAAGCAATGTTGTGACAATACTTGTCAAATTAAGATCCTACGTACAGTGCCTTCGGAAAGTATTCAGACCCCTTGACTTTTTCCACATTTTGTTACGTTACAGCCTTATTCTGAAATTGATTAAATAGTTTTTTTTTTCCCTCATCATTTTTTTTATTGAATCCATTTTAGAATAAGGCTGTAACGTAACAAAATGTGGAAAAAGTCAATGGGTCCGAATACTTTCCAAATGCACTGTATAGTGAATTTCAAAGGCTTTTATTAAGGGCTGATTCACACAGTCCCCTCTGAACAGTTGATGTTGAGATGTGTCTGTGACTTGAACTCTGTGAAGCATTTATTTGGGCTGCAATTTCTGAGGCTGGTAACTCTAATGAACTTATCCGCCATTCCTGTGGCGGTCCTCATGAGAGCCAGTTTCATCATAGCACTTGATGGTTTTTGCGACTGCACTTGAAGAAACTTTCAAAGGTCTTGAAATGTTCTGTATTGACTGACCTTCATGTCTTAAAGTAATGATGGACTGTCGTTTCTCTTTGCTTATTTGAGCTGTTCTTGCCATAATATGGACTTGGTCTTTTACCAAAAAGGGCTATCTTCTGTATACCCCCCCCCCTACCTTGTCACATCACAACTGATTGGCTCAAACGCATTAAGAAGGAAATAAATTCCACAAATTAACTTTTAAGAAGGCACACCTGTTAATTGAAATGCATTCCAGGTGACTACCTCATGAAGCTGGTTGAGAGAATGCCAAGTGTGTGCAAAGCTGTCATCAAGGCAAAGGGTGGCTATTTGAAGAATCTCAAATATAAAATACATTTTGATTTGTTTTATCAAAGTTTTGACTTATGCACTATTATTTTACAATGTACATTTTTTTTTACAATAAAAGAAAACCCCTTGAATGAGTAAGTGTGTCCAAACTTTTGACAGGTAGCATAAGTATTCAGACCCTTATGAGACTCGAAATGGCGCTCAGGTGCATCCTGTTTCCATTGATCATCCTTGAGATGTTTCTACAACTTGATTGGAGTCCACCTGTGGTAAATTCAATTGATTGGACATGATTTGGAAAGGCACACACCTGTCTATATAAGGTCCCACAGTTGACAGTGCATGTCAGAGCAACAACCAAGCGAAGGAATTGTCCGTAGAGCTCCGAGACAGGATTTTGTCGAGGCACAGATCTGGGGAAGGGTACCAAAACATTTCTGCAGCATTGAAGGTCCCCAAGAACAGTGGCCTCCATCATTCTTAAAAGGAAGAAGTTTGGAACCACCGAGACTCTTCCTAGAGCTGGCCGCCCGGCCAAACTGAACAATCGGAGGAGAAGGGCCTTGGTCAGGGAGGTGACCAAGAACCCGATGGTCACTCTGACAGAGCTCCAGAGTTCCTCTGTGGATATGGAAGAACCTTCCAGAAGGACAACCATCTCTGCAGCACTCCACCAATCAGGTCTTAATGGTAGAGTGGTCAGACGGAAGCCACTCCTTACTAAAAGGCACATGACAGCCCGTTTGGAGTTTGCCAAAAGGCCGTTAAAGGAATCTCATACCATGAGAAACAACATTCTCTGGTCTGATGAAACCAAGATTTAACTGTTTTGCCTGAATGCCAAGCGTCACGTCTGGAGGAAACCAGGCACTGCTCATCACCTGGCCAATACCATCGGTACTGTGAAGCATGGTGGTGGCAGCATCATGCTGTGGGGATGTTTTTCAGTGGCAGGGACTGGGAGACTAGTCAGGATTGAAGGAACGATTAATGGAGCAAAGTACAGAGAGATCCTTGATAAAAACCTGCTCCAGCGCCCTCAGGACCTCAGACTGGGGCGAAGGTTCATCTTCCAACAGGACAACGACCCTAAGCACACAGCCAAGACAACGCAGGAGTGGTTTTAGGACAGGTTTCTGAATGTCCTTGAGTGGCCCAGCCAGAGCCCGGACGCTGTTTTTCATCGTTTGGGCTAGGCCCCTTAGTTTCAGTGCAGGGAAATCTTAATGCTTAGCATACATTAATATTCTAGACGATTCTGTGCTTCCAACTTTGTGGCAACTGTTTGGGAAGGCCCTTTCCTGTTTCAGCATGACAATGCCCCCATGCACAAAGCGAGGTCCATACAGAAGTGGTTTGTCGAGATCGGTGTGGAAGAACTTGACTGGCCTGTACAGAGCCCTGACCTCAACCCCATCGAACACCTTTGGTATGAATTGGAACGCAGACTGCGAGCCAGGCCTAATCGCCCAACATCAGTGCCTTACCTCACTAATGCTCTTGTGGCTGAATGGAAGCAAGTCCCCGCAGCAATGTTCCAACATCTAGTGGAAAGCCTTTCCAGAAGAATGTAGGCTCTTATAGCAGCAAAGATGGGACCAACTCCATATTAATGCCCATGATTTTGGAATGAGAATTTTGACAAGCAGGTGTCCACATACTTTTGGTAATGTATTGTAGTTATTTATCCATCCATGATGGGTGATGTCTGAAAAGCAGCATCTGACAGTGATGAATGGAGAGGGATGTGTTTTGAAATCTGCTCCCCAGTCACAGTAGTGGAAATCAGATGGCACCCTGTTTTTAGCTTTTCCCATTCATCTTTTCTCACAAAATATATATAATGCAAGAAAAAATTACCTATTCTTTTTTTGTAAACAGTTTTAAAATAAATGAATAATATGGGCCTAAATAGGTAAAGAAATATTCCTGATTTATATATTAAATGTAGCCTATTCGACAGTGTCAAGCATGATATCAGAATAGGATCTTGGATATCCTGTTCCGTCTTGGGTGGCGATGTGTTGCCCGCACGTGCTTGACACAGGTGATGCTATGGGTGTTTGGAATTGTAGTCAGCTATTGAGGTGAAGAGGAGTGTGGCTGTCAAGCTGCCTGGCGGCTCATTGCTGGGCTACATTACATGCTTCAGTCAACACCTCATTGGATAGAGCAGCTTATTGTATTTTCCCCACAGCACAATATAGGTTGAATCTTGTTCATTCACTTACGTCAGAAAGAGTCAAACAAATATATTCAAACACACACAACTGGAACTGGATGTTCTGGAAAGTTTTAAGGGATTTTTGTAAAATATTTACGTCAGTCTCCACATAGTTTGATGGGATATACAGCACTGGATAAAACGGCAGTGAGAGTTCTACTTATTGAGGAAGGCCCTCACTAGCCTGGCTGTGTATTTCTCTTTTACTGCCTGCCACCCGTTACGGTCTAGTTACATAAGCTCAACACTCAACGCCAGCCAGCAGTAAGCTAGACTGTGTTATGCTATGTAGAGATTCAGCAATGAGCCAGCTAATGTGTATGTCGGTGTGTAGCCTAGATTTATGCAAATAGGGTGTTGCCATGGGGTGTTACTGTGGTGAGACAGAGAGAGAGAGAGACAGAGATGACTGGTGGGTTCTAGAAGGCCATGCGTTCTGGAAGAAGCTAGACCAGAGTCAGGGTAAAATACGTAGACCGTAGTACCATGCTGTGGTGGATACTGGCTGACCATTGTGTGATTCTTATTTAACCCAAAGGACGTCCCACCCGGTTGACTACTTAAAAATGGTGAAAGTCCTCAATGGCGCTGCCCATGCTAAAACGGGCTTTTAGGCACTAGAGTTCTCTATCTATCTCTAGGGTTAAAATACATAGACCATAGTGTCATGCGGTGGTGGGTTGGCCTAATGGTTGGTTGAGGTGGGCCAAGTCCATTTTATTTCCATTTGACAAGGAGAGGAGACTTGGTCGCTGGTCCAAGGACGGCCGGCACTAGATGATGGAGATAATTGTGTTTTATAGATCTCTCTAACCACAAATGCAAACCCAGAAATATTCCTAACCTAAAATAACAGGCTTGGTAAATACCTCACCTATTTGCTCATCAATTCTGACCATATTACCACTTCCCTTACACAAGAAAAACTGCATGAAAAAATCATGTGAAAAAAATAAATCACATTTGAAAATGTTCACATGAATCAGACACGTGTGAAGTTTCACATTAATTTGTCACGTGTTTTCCCCTAATTTTATTTACCACTACTTCCAGCTACATCTGGGCTCCCATTCAGGGACCGACCTGGACTGCCCCTGCTTAGCTTCAGAGGCAAACAAGCAGTGGGATGCAAGGTGCTATGTTGCTGGAATGAATGTGCCAAAACTTGCAACTGAAAAAAAGGCAGCGACAGCATAGACCATTGTAACATAACTAAAGATAGGTTAAATTGCAGGAAAGAGGGAGGAATTTTATTGAATCACGTTATCATTTTAAAAAAATCCACTTCATTTTTTTTTTTGGTGGGGGCATCCATTTACAATTAATTTGTTCTCGCATTTCAAATGTATTTTGTTTTTCTATCAATACTTTTTGGTTTATGTTTTCCTTTCAATATCATTATTTTTGTTTTCAATACTAAGAATCTTGTTCTCGACTTCAGAAGTTTTGCTTGATATTAATGGCACAAAGGTAGTAACTCACTAGAAGATTGCACCATATAATAACACTATTACTCTATTAAAGGCATAACTATGTATTTTAATTACAGTGGCAATCCTTAATTGAAACATTAACAAAGTGTACTCCCCGCCACAGTTTCAGTAAAAAGCTGAGGGATGGGGCTGGAGAAATGCAACCACTCAAAAATCCATAGACTTTCAATGCAAGGACTGACCATCCATGATATCAAAATTATAGTTTTAACCATGTTTTGAGGCTATACAGTTTGTTTACATTTACTTTGTTTACAAACAGTGGAGTAAAACAAGCTTATATTTTGGGTTCTGATGGGGTACGACAGTTGAACTCACGAGGCAAAATACTTTATATTCTTCAAGAATCAATGGGTACATATCATTAATGTATAAGTCCAAAAATGGATGTAGCAACTAAGGATTGCCCCTTTAACCTGCCCGAATCTATTTTATTCTGTCCACTGTTCCGCTTGTTTGTGATGTTGGGGTCCTCTGTAGCTCAATTGGTAGAGCATGGCGCTTGTAACACCAGGGTAGTGGGTTCGATCCCCGTGACCACCCATATGTAAAAATGTATGCGCACATGACTGTAAGTCGCTTTGGATAAAAGCGTCTGCTAAATGGCATATTATTATTATGTTCTGATGTAATCAGCGGAGGCTGGTGGGAGGAGCTATAGGAGGACAGCCTTATTTTCATGGCTGGAATGGAATCAATGGAACGGTATCAAACACATCAAACACATGGAAACTGTTCCATTTATTCCATTCCAGCCATTACTATGAGCCCGTCCTCCCATAGTCCTCACACCAGCCTCCACTGATTATATTAGAACATCACAGTCATCATAAACAAGTTATTAAAGTCAATCAATCAAAACAATCACACACCTTGGTGAACTAATTTCTCGTCAGGATTTTAAACTGCCCTAGTGGCACCAGGGAATCCAAACGTAATGAACTTTTGTAAGTGATTCCATAAATGTGGAGCGTTAAAACTAAAGGAGGATTTACCTAAATTGGTGGAGACCAGAGGGACCTCAAGAGTTGACCAATCCTGTGATGGGGTTTGGTATCTCATTCTCTTAGTCGTTAGCAGCAAAGCCAGGTCAGTTGGAAGCTTGTAGCTTGTGTAGTAGAGCTTTGGAAACAAAATGGGAGTAATGAAGTGACCTACGGGACTTTAATGAGGACCAGCCAACGTTTTGATACATTTACATTTACATTAACATTTACATCATTTAGCAGACGCTCTTATCCAGAGCGACTTACAAATTGGTGCATTCAACTTATGATAGCCAGTGGGACAACCACTTTTATTTCCTTTTTGTTTATGGGGGGGGGGGGGGGGGGGGGGGGGGGGGGGGGTAGAAGGATTACTTTATACTATTCCAGGTATTCCTTAAAGAGGTAAGGTTTCAAGTGTCTCCGGAAGGTGGTCAGTGACACAGGATGCAGTGATGAGTATTCAAACGGGCACCTGTGAGAGAAAGCGATGGGAGCTAATGGTAGACAACATCCACAGGTTTAAGAGTAGTAGCTGCTGCAATCTGGGAAATGTTGTCTCCATAGTCAAGAACTGGCAGGAAAGTTGACTGTACAATCTGCTTCCTGCTGTTTAGGGAGAGGCAAGATCTAGAAGCCCACTTTAAATCTAAGCTTTTTAACTAACTCATCCGTATGTTTTTTAACCCTTTGTCAACCCAAAAGCCCAGATATTTATAGGTGGGAACCTGATCGATGGGAGAACCATCCAATGATTAAATATGTAGTCCATCTGAATTGTTTTTGTGAGAATTAGAGAACAACATGTATTTAGTCTTGCCCAAATTAATCTGAATCATAACACTTAACCTCTAGTGTCAAAGGTAATCTGTGTCTCTGAACCAAATGACCACAGGGACCTGCAGTATCAGAAGATCATGACCTATGAGACACACACACACACACACACACATACAACACATACACACACATACACACACACACACACAACACACACACACACACACAACACACACACAACACCACACACACACACACACACACACACACACACACACACCACACACACACACACACACACACACACAACACACACACACACACACAACACACACACACACCACAACACACACACAACACACAACACCACACACACACACACACACAACACACACACACACACCACCACAACACACCCACACACACACACACAACACCACACACACACACACACACACACACACACACACACACACACACACACACACACACACACACACAACACACACAACACACACACACACACACACACACACACACACACACACACACACACACCACACAACACACACACACATAACACACACACAACACACACACACACACACACACACACACACGGTCTGACAAGTGACGAAACATTTACAGAAGAACCATAAATTCCTACATCTACATATCTGTTGTGACTGGTCAGCTCAGCTGTTTATACTGACAGCCATTACATGGTAAATGAAAAGGTCAGTTGTTGGTTGTTGGTGTATAGGCTAGTACTGTAGCTTGTTAAGGTCTATTGACTAGTGATTAAGTGTCTGTTAAAGTGTCTTGTATCAGGTTATCGACCCGTCTGTCTGTCTCTGTCTGTCTGAACACCCTACAGAGGGTATTTTATTTATAGACTTGCTTGTCTTGTTGGTCTCACACGTCTCGGCTGACTGTGTGTGTGTGTGTGTGTGTTATCACACATCTGGGAGGGGGGGGGGAGGTGATGCGTCCATCCTATATGTCTCATCTGGTCACTCTGTCATCACCCTCACACTGCACACCTCTGTGTGTGTGTGTGTGTGTGTGTGTGTGTGTGTGTGTGTGTGTGTGGTGTGTGTGTGTGTGGTGTGTGTGTGTGTATGTGTGTGTGTGTGTGTGGGTGTATGTGTGTGTGTGTGTGTATGTGTGTGTGTGTGTATGTGTGTGTATATGTGTGTGTGTGTGTGTATGTGTGTGTGTGTGTGTGTGTATCTAACACCATGGTTTCCAGATCATCAGTGTTATGCCCTCCCCCTGTTATCTTGTGATTAGAAGGGGGAGAATGTCTGGCAACCCTCAGGGATTCATCTCTTTATATCAAAGCTGGGGACTTATTTCTGTAGTTTAACCTAATTATCCTCTTCTAGGGTTGAAACTATTGCCTGACGACTCAGTTTGAATTCTTCTGCTCCTCTGTGTTCGCTACGTACTTCAGTCTGAGACTGCCATCATTGAAGTCGTTTGTGGTGACTACAAAATGAGCTGTGTTGTACAAACAAAGTCAGCAGCGATTGGATCATCTCTAACCAATCAGAATATCAAAGCCAAGGACGAATTTTCAAAACGCCGCTTTACCCACGTGTGTTCTGTCTCTGGCCCAACCCGTCGGTTTCTGGGACCAATCAGAACGGTTAGAATGTGTTTGCGTTCTAGAAATTGTCAAGGAGGTGCTCAGATCCAGACTCATTGTGGAGAAGAAACTAATATCCGTGGGCGTGGCGTAGCGCTTGGCCGGAGCAAGGAGTCTGGGTAGCCAGGCAATTGAAACTATGGAAACGGGTGACGTGTGTAACGGTCGCTACAGTAAAGGACTGTAGGTCAACACCAATTTCTTAGTTGTTTTTCTTCTAATGTGAATTCCCTCTCACTCCCTTGAGCTTACACTATGTAGACTACAGTACCTGGTCTAGTTCAGTACCTGGTCTAGTTCAGTAGCTGGTCTAGTTCAGTACCTGGTCTAGTTCTGTAGCTGGTCTAGTTCAGTACCTGGTCTAGTTCAGTACCTGGTCTAGTACAGTACCTGGTCTAGTTCAGTACCTGGTCTAGTTCAGTAGCTGGTCTAGTTCAGTACCTGGTCTAGTTCAGTAGCTGGTCTAGTTCAGTAGCTGGTCTAGTACAGTACCTGGTCTAGTACAGTACCTGGTCTAGTTCAGTAGCTGGTCTAGTTCAGTACCTGGTCTAGTTCAGTACCTGGTCTAGTACAGTAGCTGGTCTAGTTCAGTACTGGTCTAGTACAGTACCTGGTCTAGTTCAGTAGCTGGTCTAGTTCAGTACCTGGTCTCGTTCAGTGAGCTGGTCTAGTTTCAGTAGCTGGTCTAGTACAGTACCTGGTCTAGTACAGTACCTGGTCTAGTTCAGTACCTGGTCTAGTTCAGTACCTGGTCTAGTTCAGTACCTGGTCTAGTTCAGTACCTGGTCTAGTACAGTAGCTGGTCTAGTTCAGTACCTGGTCTAGTTCAGTACCTGGTCTAGTTCAGTACCTGTCTAGTTCAGTTACCTGGTCTAGTACAGTAGCTGGTCTAGTTCAGTACCTGGTCTAGTACAGTAACCTGGTTTAGTTTCAGTACCTGGTCTAGTACAGTAGCTGGTCTAGTTCAGTACCATGGTCTAGTACAGTACCTGGTTTAGTTCAGTACCTGGTCTAGTTCAGTACCTGGTCTAGTTCAGTACCTGGTCTAGTTCAGTACCTGGTCTAGTTCAGTACCTGGTCTAGTACAGTACCTGGTTTAGTTCAGTACCTGGTCTAGTACAGTACCTGGTCTAGTTCAGTACCTGGTCTAGTACAGTACCTGGTTTAGTTCAGTACCTGGTCTAGTACAGTACCTGGTCTAGTTCAGTACCTGGTCTAGTTCAGTACCTGGTCTAGTACAGTACCTGGTCTAGTACCTCTTTAAGGAATACCTGGGATAGGATAAAGTAATCCTTCTACCCCCCCCCCAAAAAAAATAATTGTAAAGTGATTATCCCACTGGCTATAGGGTGAACGCACCAATTGGCAAGTCGCTCTGGATAAGAGCGTCTGCTAAATGACGTAAATGTGCCCTTGAGCAAGGCACTTAACCCTAATTGCTCCTGTAAGTCGCTCTGGATAAGAGCGTCTGCTAAATGACTAAAATGTAAATGTAAATGTAAAATGTAGTTCAGTACCTGGTCTAGTACAGTACCTGGTATAGTTCAGTACCTGGTCTAGTTCAGTAGCTGGTCTAGTACAGTACCTGGTCTAGTTCAGTACCTGGTCTAGTTCAGTACCTGGTCTAGTACAGTACCTGGTCTAGTTCAGTACCTGGTCTAGTTCAGTACCTGGTCTAGTTCAGTACCTGGTCTAGTTCAGTACCTGGTCTAGTTCAGTACCTGGTCTAGTTCAGTACCTGGTCTAGTACAGTAGCTGGTCTAGTACAGTACCTGGTCTAGTTCAGTAGCTGGTCTAGTTCAGTACCTGGTCTAGTACAGTAGCTGGTCTAGTTCAGTACCTGGTCTAGTTCAGTAGCTGGTCTAGTTTGCTGTGTCTGTTTCCACCAAAACAAAGTGAGCGGTGTGAATGACAGCGGTGATAGTAGGTTACAGTAGGGTCTGGAATTAGACACCAGACACCTCCTCGGGGACTGTTGGTCTATACACCTGGGACACTTTCCTCTCACTGATTGTAGAATACATGGTCAACAACACACTGAGCTTTTGGTCCATCAGAAGTTTAGCTAGTAGACCACAACTCAAACACACTGACGTCTCTATCTGTGACTGCCACTGTGTACATAGTGGAGTAGGTCCAAGGTCCCCCAGTGCCAGTCATTAGTAGTACTGTGTAAGACCAGTCAATGATTAGCCTGCAAAGAGGAAAGACAAGAACATCCTGACCTGGTAAATGTGTAAAAGTGACAGAGTTTGTTGAAACACTAGCCTGGGTACGAGTCTGTTTGTGCTAAAATTCCACTCTTTGTACTCTGTCATGTGCCAAACATTGGCATGACATGGAGTGGCAAGGAGTGGAATGATAGCACAAACAGATCTGGGACCAGGCTATTGAAACACTGAAATCCAGGAAGGAATAATGTTGTTTTGACCCACTGGGCATGTGCAGAGGATACGAGCTCACCTAAACAGTGTCAGACACGTTCCCCTCTCCCAGTGTTTGGTTTAAGATGGCTTTAGGATCACTTTAACTTACAGTAAGTGATTAGTCTAGCTAGCTAACTCTGAGGACACACACTCTCTCCCCAGAGGAGGCGAGTTTCTCTCCCTATCACGCTGTGAGTGAGTGTGTGTTTGAGTGTATGTGTGTGTACGTCCTCTCTTTCAGCTCTCTCTCTGTGCCAGGTCTTGTCAGAGTGGGTTAGCTCGTCGCTAGCTGATGAGCCAGCCATGCCAGTCATGTCTTTGATGGCAGGCCAGAGCCTGTAATTACCTGCCTGGGTTGCCAGTTATGAGACGGCATCGCCAGGTTCTGTCTACTGCTCGTTAATGAAGCCTGGCCGTGTGTGTGTTTGTGTGTCCTCTCAGAGCCCTCGTGCAGAGCAAAGCATGCTGGGAGATTTGGCTTCTTGAGAACGTTCCGGAGCGTTCTACTGCTCTGTCACATGACATGAGAATGTTCCAGAACATGTCACTGTTGTTGCTACGCCGACAGGCAGCAGGCACAGATGATGTTCAGACAGTCTTTCAGAAATATCCTGGAACCAAACCCCCCATGCAGCTCACCTATGAGATGCCAAAAGATTGTAAAGGTTGTCAACAGTGCCCTCTCTCGCCATCTCTCTCTTCAGTGTTTCCCCTATATTAATTTAGCAGTGCCACTCCCAAAAATATTCTTAAAAATAATAACAATCATTTTGAAAATAATTTTGGGGATGGTCGATTGTTTCTCTAAACTTTTGCCCTGTGGCAAAATGTGTAGAATTGCAGGAAATTAGCTTTAAAACAGCACAACTGAGACTCTACGGCCAAGAGGGGGGCCTCTAAAACTGTTGGTTGGAGACAGCGCCATTGCCCACCCCCTGCTGAAAAAAATACTGTCTCAAACAGTACACATATTTACTCTCTCTCTCCATGACATTTTCTCTCAGACTTGGTTTCTCTTTCTTCTCAGACTGTTTTTTCAACAGTGAAACAGCATTTTTATTTTCCGGTTTGCTTGAGTTTACTTGACTTGACCTTCTTAACTGCACTTCTTTCACTAAAGCGGTCCAGTGTTTTCTTTCCTTTGTCCAACCAGAGTTGTTCTCTATCCCTCTAATGAAGAACTCATTGTCTGACAGAACGGATCCCCTATTCCCTATATAGTGCACTACTTTTGATCCGAACCCTGTGGGCTGGGTGCCATAATAGGGTACCATTTGGGATACACCCTCACTGTAGTTTGTCCTCTTTCTTCCACATCTTGCAGTGATTGACCCAACCTTGAACACACACAGACACACACACACACACACACACACACACACACACACACACACACACACACACACACACACACACACACACACACACACACACACACACACAAACACACAGACACACGTGCTGAGCACACACACACACACACACACACACACACACACACACACACACACACACACACACACACACACACACACACACACACACACACACACATAGACACACAGTCGCAAATGGGCTAAAAAAGAATCCCGCTCACACATTCAGACGTCCACACACTCACTCACACATGTTCAGCATGCGCTCTCCACACCCCTCTCACCAATGAACATCCACTCCACTCCTCGCTCAGTGGGTTGAAACACCTCCATTGCAGCTGTGAATAATATAGGATGAATAAGATGAAAGCTGGATAAACATAAGGCATAAAGCTTAGCTCTCTCTCTCTGCCCTGCAGGCTGTTAAACAGTGCGGAGGTCTTCGTTTTACACATAAAGGAACTCCTTCCCTCCTGAGACACCAGGTCCAGGCCCAGCCTGGAGAAGTGGGTATAATTACATTTTGCTAAGAATTTCCCAAAAGGCCCGCCCGGCGAAGGAAAGGCGCCCTGTGTGAAGAATTATATGAGAAACAGTGACATACACTGTGAATGACCTAAAATGATAAATCCCATATTGGTCTTTCACAGTCAGGCCAACCCAAGCTGTACTGTGCAGTAAGCTAATAGTAGTCCTACTATTGAAACAGGTAAATGAGGCTGTCAACTGAGTCATAAATTCACAGGTTTCAGATTGTTCCAGTTTTTTCAGGTTTTTCGCTTTCAAAGTCTTATTGATTCAAATAATCATGATATCATTCTGCCAAGTAGGCATACCTTGTAGCTAGTTAACATTTAATTGAGAAGGTTTTGGAGAAAGCCTTCAAGTCTACCAGAAGACGGTTAGGCCTAGTCTAGCCCCAGCCCCCTCTACTCCTGAAGAGCCTGTCCAGAACCCCCTAGTCTAGCCCCAGCCCCCTCTACTCCTGAAGAGCCTGTCCAGAACCCCCTAGTCTAGCCCCAGCCCCCTGTACTCCTGAAGAGCCTGTCCTGAACCCCCTAGTCTAGCCCCAGCCCCCTCTACTCCTGAAGAGCCTGTCCTGAACCCCCTAGTCTAGCCCCAGCCCCCTGTACTCCTGAAGAGCCTGTCCTGAAACCCCTAGTCTAGCCCCAGCCCCCTCTACTCCTGAAGAGCCTGTCCAGAACCCCCTAGTCTAGCCCCAGCCCCCTCTACTCCTGAAGAGCCTGTCCAGAACCCCCTAGTCTAGCCCCAGCCCCCTCTACTCCTGAAGAGCCTGTCCAGAACCCCCTAGTCTAGCCCCAGCCCCCTCTACTCCTGAAGGAGGAATAGAGGGAGAGATAAGGGGGAAAGATGGAGGGGGAGATGTTGGAGAGAGGGAGAGACGAGAGGTAAAGATGGAGGGGGAGATGTTGGAGAGAGGGAGAGACAAGGGGGAAAGATGGAGGGGGAGATGTTGGAGAGAGGGAGAGACAAGGGGGAAAGATGGAGGGGGAGATGTTGGAGAGAGGGAGAGACAAGGGGGAAAGATGGAGGGGGAGATGTTGGAGAGAGGGAGAGACTAGGTGGAAAGATGGAGGGGGAGATGTTGGAGAGAGGGAGAGACAAGGGGGAAAGATGGAGGGGGAGATGTTGGAGAGAGGGAGAAACTAGGGGGAAAGATGGAGGGGGAGGATGTTTGGAGAGACGAGGGGGAAAGATGGAGGGGGAGATGTTGGAGAGAGGGAGACACGAGGGGGAAAGATGGAGGGGGAGATGTTGGAGAGAGGGAGAGACGAGGGGGAGATGTTGGAGAGAAGGGACTAGGGGGAGATGGAGGGGGAGATGTTGGACAGAGGGAGAGACTAGGGGGAAAGATGGAGGGGGAGATGTTGGAGAGGACTAGGGGGAAAGATGGAGGGGGAGATGTTGTAGAGAGGGGGAAAGATGGAGGGGGGAGATGTTGGAGAGAGGGTGAGGCGAGGGGGAAAGATGGAGGGGGGGATGTTGGAGAGAGGGAGAGACTAGGGGGAAAGATGGAGGGGGAGATGTTGGAGAGAGGGAGAGACTAGGTGGAAAGATGGAGGGGGTGATGTTGGAGAGAGGGAGAGACTAGGTGGAAAGATGGAGGGGGTGATGTTGGAGAGAGGGAGAGACTAGGGGGAAAGATGGAGGGGGAGATGTTGGAGAGAGGGAGAGATTAGGGGGAAAGATGGAGGGGGAGATGTTGGAGAGAGGGAGAGGGGGAAAGATGGAGGGGGAGATGTTGGAGAGAGGGAGAGACTAGCGGGAAAGATGGAGGGGGAGATGGTTAGAAAGAGGAAAGGGAGTCGGAGAAGGGAGATAGGAAAGGAGGCAGGAGGGAGAGATGGAGGGAGAGATGGTGTGAGGGAGAAGCCGCAGAAGTGGGTCATGGTGTTGTGATACGATGGGAAGCGACACACGAGAAAAAAACAGACTCACGAACGCCTCTGTCTGTGTCACGCTGCCTGCACACACACATACACACACAGTGAGACCTTAGCTCACTTCACTGCACAAACGCACATAGGGGTAAAAATGGCATTCAAGACTTACAAAGCTTTTTGCATTAGTAATAACCTGAGACCTTCTAGATGCTAGTTTTGAATAAAGGTAGTAGTTATAGAGTTGAAGGGCCAGGCAGGCGTATTTGGGTAATTCTTTATTTGGGCTTTTGCTATGCCATCCCTCTGTGATGCACTGTGTGTGTGTGTGTGTGTGTGTGTGTGTGTGTGTGTGTGTGTGTGTGTCACCACTGTCTGACTAGGCCTATACATTTTTACATTTTAGTCATTTAGCAGACGCTCTTATCCAGAGCGACGTACAGGAGCAATTAGGGTTAAGTGCCTTGCTTAAGGGCACATCGACAGATTTTTCACCTAGTCGGCTCGGGGATTAGAACCAGCGACCTTATTTGTGTTCTACTTTCTAGGGTATGTTATGATGTTATAAGTGTTCTCTCTGCCTTTGGCCTGCTATGTTCTGATGCTGAAGTCATCTCTATGACTATGACATGCAATGTGATCCCAGTTGGCTTTAGCCCCTCCACACCAAAGGTCCTAATGACTGACAGAGAGAGAGAGAGAGAGAGAGAGAGAGAGAGAGAGAGAGAGAGAGATGGTGTGATGTCCTCAGAATCTTCAGAATCCTCTAGCTTTGGGATTTGCTCTTTCTCTTAGCAGTGAATTCAGTTGGCTGCTTCTTTGCCTGGGATCTTCCTAGGCTTAGAAGGCCTCAGTACCATTTCTCTGGTCTGATCGTTTCTATTGTCTGTGAATACAGACCTCTGTGGCCTTGGTTAGCTCATAATATGGTCATTTAGCAGACACTTCTATCCAAAGCCATTTGCAGTGCTGCAGAGCAGAACAAAACAGAACAGAGCAGAGCCGAACAGAACAGAGCAGAACAGAGGAGAACAGAACAGAGCAGATTAGGCCAGATTAGAGGCCAGGTCACAAGGGACATAAAGAGGATTAAACCAGCTGGACATTACAAGACGGAAGCTCTGCTAGCTCGCTGCCACTTTATCCATCACACCAACCAACACCAACAACTCTGTACCAAGCCTGAAAGGCCAAGGAGCTAAACCGTTAGCTAACCCTGCCTTGACATTACAGTAGTTAGACTACTACTAATGAAAACCGTTAGCTAACCCTGCCTTGACATTACAGTAGTTAGACTACTACTAATGAAAACCGTTAGCTAACCATGCCTTGACATTACAGTAGTTAGACTACTACTAATGAAAACCGTTAGCTAACCCTGCCTTGACATTACAGTAGTTAGACTACTACTAATGAAAACCGTTAGCTAACCCTGCCTTGACATTACAGTAGTTAGACTACTACTAATGAAAACCGTTAGCTAACCCTGCCTTGACATTACAGTAGTTAGACTACTACTAATGAAAACTGTTAGCTAACCCTGCCTTGACATTACAGTAGTTAGACTACTACTAATGAAAACCGTTAGCTAACCCTGCCTTGACATTACAGTAGTTAGACTACTACTAATGAAAAGTAAAGAAGCTGTACACACTCATTCATTACTGATCTATAGGAAATGTCTACCAACTCTTAAGATGCTAGCGTGACCTTAAACCAACCCCTCCTTCAAGGGATAGGTAGGTACAGAGAGAGCAATATCGTTGTTCTGGCCCAGCGCTGTTGTAGGGCCTACTTCTCTCTAATGATTATTCTGCAGAATAACACCACTTTGTAGTGGGGGTTGGAACGGTGGCTGTGTGATGGGAGCTGGTTGGACTTGGTAGTGGGGGTTGGAACGGTGGCTGTGTGATGGGAGCTGGTTGGACTTGGTAGTGGGGGTTGGAACGGCTGGCTGTGTGATGGGAGCTGGTTGGACTTGGTAGTGGGGGTTGGAACGGTGTGGATGGAGCGGTGGCTGGGATGTTTTGAGGGGCTGTGTGATGGGAGCTGGTGGATTGAGTGGGGGTTTGGAACGGGCTGGTGTGGTGATGGGAGATGGTTGGACTTGGTAGTGGGGGTTGGAATGGGTTGGCTGTTGTGATGGGAGCTGGTTGGACTTGGTAGTGGGGGTTGGAACGGCTGGCTGTGTGATGGGAGCTGGTTGGACTTGGTAGTGGGGGTTGGAACGGTGGCTGTGTGATGGGAGCTGGTTGGACTTGGTAGTGGGGGTTGGAACGGGTGGCTGTGTGATGGGAGCTGGTTGGACTTGGTAGTGGGGGTTGGAACGGCTGGCTGTGTGATGGGAGCTGGTTGGACTTGGTAGTGGGGGTTGGAACGGCTGGCTGTGTGATGGGAGCTGGTTGGACTTGGTAGTGGGGGTTGGAACGGGTGGCTGTGTGATGGGAGCTGGTTGGACTTGGTAGTGGGGGTTGGAACGGTGCTGTGTGATGGAGCTGGTTGGATGGTAGTGGGGTTGGAACGGCTGGCTGCTGCTGATTGGGAGATCTGGTGAACTTGGTAGTGGGGGTTGGAACGGGTGGCTGTGTGATGGGAGCTGGTTGGACTTGGTAGTGGTGGGTTGGAACGGATGGCTGTGTGATGGGAGGCTGGTTGGACTTGGTAGTTGGGGGTTAGGACACGGCCTGGCTGTGTGATGGGATCTGGTTGGACCTGGTAGTGGGGGTTGGAACGGCTGGCTGTGTGGATGGGAGCTGGTTGGACTTGGTAGTGGGGTTGGAACGGGCTGGCTTGTGTGATGGGAGGCTGGTTGGACTTGGTAGTTGGGGGTGGAACGGGTGTGCTGTGTGATGGGAGATGGTTGTACGCTGGGTAGTTGGGGGGTTGGATGGAAGGGCTGGCTGGTGTGATGGGAGATGGTTGGCTTGGTAGTTGGGGGTAGGGTGGAACGGGCTGGCTGTGTGATGGGGAGCTGTTGGAACTTGGGTCAGTGGGGGTTGGAACCGGATGGCAGTTGTTGATGGGAGCTTGGTTGGACTTGTTAGTGGGGGGTTGGAAACGGGCTGGACTGTGTGATGGGTAGCTGGTTGGACTTGGTAGTGGGGTGTTGGACGGCTGGGCCGCTTGTGATGGGACTGGTTGGCTTGGGTAGTGGGGGTTGGAACGGCTGGCTGTGTGATGGGAGCTGGTTGGACTTGGTAGTGGGGGTTGGAACGGCTGGCCGTGTGATGGGAGCTGGTTGTTGGTAGTGGGGGTTGGAACGGCTGGCTGTGTGATGGGAGCTGGTTGGACTTGGTAGTGGGGGGTTGGAACGGCTGGCTGTGTGATGGGAGCTGGTTGTTGGTAGTGGGGGTTGGAACGGCTGGCTGTGTGATGGGAGCTGGTTGTTGGTAGTGGGGGTTGGAACGGCTGGCTGTGTGATGGGAGCTGGTTGTTGGTAGTGGGGGTTGGAACGGCTGGCTGTGTGATGGGAGCTGGTTGTTGGTAGTGGGGGTTGGAACGGCTGGCTGTGTGATGGGAGCTGGTTGGAGCAGCTAGCCTAATGAGTGAGATTAGATGACGGATCCCAGCATGTACCCTAATGGAGCCTACTGACGTACATAGTAGTGACTCAATCGTGTGTGTGTGTGCGTGCGCGTGCGTGTGTGTGTGTGCGCGTGCCTATGCCAATGCCAGAAAGAGAGATTGCTTTGGTAGCTCTCTCTTAACAGTAGTTGTGCTGTATCGTCGTCCCCCCTGCATGTATAATAACAGAATGTAACTGGAGCATGAGCACCTGGTGTGACTTGCCTGACTGATTCTGAGACGTTGACAGAGCATTTTAGCCTCAGATACGTCCACTTTCATCTGTTTTCTGTACATTTGTGTGAGGCATTGTAGAATACATATTGGAACGCCCACAGTGAACAACATCATACACACACACACACACACACACACACACACACACACACACACACACACACACACTCACCTAGATTCTGCTCACTGTTGCTGTCCCTAAAATGAACCTAAGCTGATTCAAGTAAAGTAGCAACATCATTTAGACAGGTGTTCTGTATCAACGTAGATGTAACACAGGATGAGGAACAGAATTAAATTATTCAACTGTGATTTGTTTTGAAAAATACTTTATTTTAGCTGGGCTATAGGAAAACTACCAGCAGGCAACTGGAGCTAATCTCCTCCTCTTCTTCCTCATGTAGACTCCTCCACTAACTACATCAGACAGCTGGAGACGAAAATGAGGATATTGGAAGACGACAACAACAAGCTTTTAACGCAGGTGAGGACACACACACACACGCACACACACACCCACACACACACACACACACACACACACGCACACACACACACACACACACACACACACACACACACACACACACCCACACACACACACACACACACACACACACACACACACACACACACACACACACACACACACACACACAGTACAGAGCCCTGGTGTGATGTCGCCCCCAAACCCCAATCGAGGGGAGGAGGGTGGGAGAGGGATCAGGAGGGGAGAGGGGAGGGGAGGAGGGGGAGAGGGAGAGAGGGATCAGGAGGGGAGAGGGGAGGTGGAGGGTGGGAGGGGGATCAGGAGGGGAGAGGGGAGGTGGAGGGTGGGAGGGGGATCAGGAGGGGAGAGGGGAGGAGGGTGGGAGGGGGAGAGGGAGGCTCTTCCAGTTCACCAGGAGTTCACCTGGTTTTGGGGGATGGGGAGAGAGGGGGAGGAACCAGTCTAAATGTCGCCTCACATCAACATGTCAGTTGCATCAGCTTCCCTATACCGAGACGACATGGAAAGACACACACACACACACACAAACACACAAGACTCGAAATTGAGCTCAGGTGCATCCTGTTTCCATTGATCATCCTTTAGATGTCTCTACATCTTGATTGGAGTCTACCTGTGGTAAATTCAATTGATTGGACATGATTTGGAAAGGTACACACCTGTTTATATAACACACCTGTTTATATACGTTTATATGACAGTGCATGTCAGAGCAAAAACCAAGCCATGAGGTCGAAGGAATTGTCCGTAGAGATCAGAGACAGGATTGTCACGAGGCACAGATCTGGGGAAGGGTACCCAAACATTTTTGCAAACACAGTGGCCTCCATCATTCTTAAATAGAAGAAGTTTGGAACCACCAAGACTCTTCCTAGAGCTGGCTGCCCGGCCAAACTGAGCAATCGGAGGAGAAGGGCCTTGGTCAGGGAGGTGACCAAGAACCCGATGGTCACTCTGACAGAGCTCCAGAGTTCCTCTGTGGGAACTCCTTCCAGAAGGACACCCATCTCTGTATCACTCCACCAATCAGGCCTTTATGGTAGAGTGGCCAGATGGAAGCCACTCCTCAGTAAAAGGCACATGACAGCCCGCTTGGAGTTTGCCAAAAGGCACTTAAAGGACTGTCAGACCATGAGAAACAAGATTCTCTGGTCTGATGAAACCAAGATTGAACTCTTTGGCCTGATTGCCAAGCGTCACGTCTGGAGGAAACCTGGCACCATCCCTGCGGTGAAGCATGGTGGTGGCAGTATCATGCTGTGGGGATGTTTTTCAGCGGCAGGGACTGGGAGACTAGTCAGGATCGAGGGAAAGATGAATGGAGCAAAGTACAGAGAGATACTTGATGAAAACCTGCTCCAGAGCGTTCAGGACCTCAGACTTGGGTGAAGGTTCACCTTCCAACAGGACAACAACCCTAAGCATACAGCCAAGACAACGCAGGAGTGGTTTCGGCGGGGCATGTCTCTGAATGTCCTTGAGTGGCCCAGCCAGAGCCCGGACTTGAACCTGATCGAACATCTCTGGAGAGACCTGAAAATAGCTGTGCAGCGACACTCCCCATCCAACCTGACAGAGCTTGACAGGATCTGCAGAGAAGAATGTGAGAAACTCCCCAAATACAGGTGTGCCAAGCTTGTAGCGTCATACCCAAGAAGACTAGAGGCTGTAATCGCTGCCAAAGGTGCTTCAACAAAGTACTGAGTAAAGGGTCTGAATACTTATGTAAATGTGATCTTTCCATTTTTGTATTTCTTACAAATTTGCAAAAATGTGTACAAACCTGTCTTTGCTTCGTAATTATGAGGTATTGTGTGTAGGAAAAACCCAAATTTCATCCATTTTAGAATAAGGCTGTAACGTAACAAAATGTGTAAAAAGTCAAGGGGCCTGAATTAGGGCTGTGGTGGTCACAACATTTCGGCAGCCGGTGATTGTCAAGCAAATAATTGTCGGTCTCACGGTAATTGACCGTTAATTAACATAAACACATTTAGCATCTCCTGGCTTCCACACAGCCTATAACCCACTGATGCAGACCTTTGGAACATCTACATTTAAAAAAGTCTAATCAATCCATGTAATATAGCCTACACCTTCACAATAAATCCATTATTTATTTTAGACAGGTCTAAAGAAGCATGATATGAAGAAAATGTGATCTTATTTCAGAAGAACAGAATAGCATACTCTGAGTTGTACTTATGTTAGGTCCTGATCTGGCTATGCCAAATGGTTGTTGGGCTACACTAGTTCATTTAGCAGACAAGATTTGCTTAGAATTCCGTGGCATTATTTTATAGTATGAAGAATACATTTGAACAAAGCTGAATAAAATAGAAAGGATATTTTCTCCAAACGATCTGAGGGAGTGCGCACATGCGGCTATTCTGTGTTGAGCGGGTAACAAAGAAATAGGTATTCCTACAGTTGAAGTCGGAAGTTTACATACACTTAGGTTGGAGTCATTAAAACTCGTTTTTCAACCACTCCACACATTTCTTGTTAACAAACTATAGTTTTGGCAAGTCGGTTAGGACATCTACTTTGTGCATGACACAAGTAATTTTTCCAAAAATTGTTTACAGACCGATTATGTCACTTATAATTCATTGTATCACAATTCCAGTGGGTCAGAAGTTTACATACACTAAGTTGACTTTGCCTTTAAACAGCTTGGAAAATTCCAGAAAATGATGTCATGGCTTTAGAAGCTTCTGATAGGTTAATTTACATCATTTGAATCAATTGGAGGTGTACCTGTGGATGTATTTCAAGGCCTACCTTCAAACTCAGTGCCTCTTTGCTTGACATCATGGGAAAATCAAAATAAATCAGCCAAAACCTCAGAAATAAATGGTAGACCTCCACAGGTCTGGTTCAACATTGGGATCAATTTCCAAATGCCTGAAGGTACCACGTTCATCTGTACAAACAATAGTACGCAAGTATAAACACCATGGGACCACGCAGCCGTCACACCGCTCAGGAAGGAGATGCGTTCTGTCTCCTAGAGATGAACGTACTTTGGTGCGAAAAGTGCAAATCAATCCCAGAACAACAGCAAAGTATCTATATCCACAGTAAAACGAGTCCGATATCGACATAACCTGAAAGGCCGCTCAGCAAGGAAGAAGCCACTGCTCCAAAACGGCCATAAAAAAGCCAGAGTACGGTTTGCAACTGCACATGGGGACAAAGATCGTACTTTTTGGAGAAATGTCCTCTGGTCTGATGAAACAAAAATCAAACTGTTTGGCCATTTTGACCATCATTATGTTTGGAGGAAAAAGGGGAACGCTTGCAAGCCGAAGAACACCATCCCAACCATGAAGCACGGGGTGGCAGCATCATGCTGTGGGGGTGCTTTGCTGCAGGAGGAACTGGTGCACTTCACAAAATAGATGGCATCATGAGGAAGGAAAATAATGTGGATATATTGAAGCAACATCTCAAGACATCAGTCAGGAAGTTAAAGCTTGGTCTCAAATGGGTCTTCCAAATGGACAATGACCCCAAGTATACCTCCAAAGTTGTGGCAAAATGGCTTAAGGACAACAAAGTCAAGGTATTGGAGTGGCCATCACAACGCCCTGACCTCAATTCTATATAAAATTTGTTGGCAGAACTGAAAAAGCGTTTGCAAGCAATGAGGCCTACAAACATGACTCAGTTACACCAGCTCTGTCAGTAGGAATGGGCCAAAATTCACCCAACTTATTGTGGGAAGCTTGTGGAAGGCTACCCGAAACATTTGACCCAAGTTAAACAATTTAAAGGCAATGCTACCAAATACTAATTGAGTGTATGTAAACTTCTGAACCCACTGGGAATGTGATGAAAGATATAAAAGCTGAAATAAATCATTCTCTCTACTATTTTTCTGACATTTCACATTCTTAACATAAAGTGGTGATCCTAACTGACCTAAGACAGGGAATTTTTACTAGGATGAAATGTCTGGAATTGTGAAAAACGGAGTTTAAATGTATTAGGCTAAGGTGTATGTAAACTTCCGACTTCAACTGTATATGCTTAATTTAGAGTTATTAATGTTCTACAAATGTTGGGCTGTATGTTTTGATTTTTAATACATTGTAAGGCTGCATGATCTGACTAATGATGATTTGAAAAAAGTCGCTTGAAAGGCATGTACACACTACATCAGTCACTCATTCACAATTTGACAAGCACTTGATAATGCCTCGAATATCCCGGCGGCATTCCCTTTATGTGGCCGTAATGCACCCTAAAGAAATCCATGCCTTTTGCAGCCAGTGGCCGTTGTGCCCTTCTCCCTGAGTGCTGCGCACTCCATCACATGAGCAGGTCTTTCTCACAGGCTACAAGTGAAGACAGACATATCTGGGACGCAACTGCGCGCGTCCTTGTCCAATTCCGAGGTGCATATTGAAGATATTGGAAGAACTGTCCACATTTAGTTTTCGTCAGCCAACAAGATGAGTAAGCCTAACGAACAGCAAAAGCACTAGCCTATGTCAATCTACTATCCCCCATAGTACAAAAGTTGAGCTATTCTATTCTGTGCGAGAAATAAATATTCCAAACATAGTCTGGGACAGTTGTGGGATGCGATAGATCCCAAATTAATAAAACCACTAGCATAAAAAAAATCAGATCAGAACGTTTAGCTTAAAATGTTGATTAACTATTAGGCTATTTCCTCACATTATAAGCGTAGCAATGCTCACATGGTAGTAGGCTATAAGTGCGAATGTTCCATTAGCGGAAAACACCATTATCAAAAGTGACCGCAAATGCAATTATGCACGTAATGCTTTTATTATAAAGGTGCATTTATATGGTGAAAATGATCTTCCCCAAACTAGAAACTCACGCGCTGCTTATGTATGCCTGGTAGGATCTACACCCTTTGTAAAGCAGATTAATGTGCTTAATTTTAAGAAGTTATTTGGCCACTTTAGTTGTGATACAAACCTTATTAAAACATATAGGCCTATGGGCTAGGCTACATGAGGTGTGCGACTACGATTAGAAAAAGTCGCAAAAAAAAAGGCATTGTTTCTTGCCTTAAGCTGGGCATCATTCACAAGTGATAATATATAATTCACAAGTGATAGGCTAATATTGTCACCCCATCAGACTATTCTTGATTTAATCTTGTCTTTACATATACTAAATAATATATGTGTGAAATTTGTTTTGATTTAGAATGGACCATTATCATGCACCTGTATCGAAACAGGGGCAGCGGGAAAAAATACATGTCATCTATGCGCTTAAATAGCGAATGGAGGACGCTTTTCCCCGTGGTTTATTTTCATGCCAGCCAGGTAGGCTATACTCCTGTTGTATGTGCTTAATATTTTGAAAGTTGAGAAATAAATATAGTAAGGCCTAGCCTATAGAAAGCTGATCCTCCTCTTTTTAGTAGAGGCCATCACTCTGTTTTCTTGCGCAATTGCATAGCCTATTGAAATGTTGAGCAACGTGTGCTCATGGGCTCTCGTGCAGTGTTTGATTAGATTTTCGAAGACATTTGCATTGACGTCAGAGTGATTAGAGGGACAATAGAGTGCTGAGTACCAGGCAGTTAGCAAGTTTGGTAGGCTACTAATGACCATCAGCAGCATCAGAGCTTGGAGAAGTCTAATTACAGTGAGTAAACGGTCACGTGGAATTTGACTGCCTTCATGACTCGTGACCACCGGTGTGGCGGTAATACAGTCACCACAACAGCCCTAGTCTGAATACTTTCCGAATGCACTGTATATGCACTTTTAAACCCATACGTAATCAATCCTAATACCTATCTCAGCAAAATCATCAGCCATATGTTATAACATGAAATATGTTTGGTCTTTTTTATCCTTTGCCACAACATTGTGCTGTATGTTATGCTATTATGTGAAGCTCAGTTCACCTCAGGGCAAGCACCTTCTAGCACCGTACCATAAACCAACTCAGGTATCAGCTCAGTTCACTTCAGGGCAAGCACCTTCAAGCACTGTAACATAAACCAACTCAGGTATCGGCTCAGTTCACTTCAAGCACCGTACCATAAACCAACTCAGGTATCGGCTCAGTTCACTTCAAGCACCGTACCATAAACCAACTCAGGTATCAGCTCAGTTCACCTCAGGGCAAGCACCTTCAAGCACCGTACCATAAACCAACTCAGGTATTGGCTCAGTTCACTTCAAGCACCGTACCATAAACCAACTCAGGTATTGGCTCAGTTCACTTCAAGCACCGTACCATAAACCAACTCAGGTATCGGCTCAGTTCACTTCAAGCACCGTACCATAAACCAACTCAAGTATCGGCTTTGAAGACATAAAAGTGATTGAATAGATTTTAATTTGTTTTTTTTTGTCACTTATTTTCCCAATGATCTCCCTTCAGATGACTATATAGGCAAAGTGTGTGGGCTGAAACTACTGACACCAAACTTTTATCATCAGGGCAATTAAGAGCAATTAATAAGTACCTTTTACATAAGGACGCCTAATATTAACTTTCCTTTAGAAACGTTTTGGTAAGATAATAACGTATATCTCTGCTTTGTGATCATCACAGTTAAAGCACCTGTCTAACATCCTCCTACATGGCGAGACATGGTGGTTGGTTGCTGAAAAGACGTTGCCAAGTTGTTGCGTGTTAAAAGCTTGTTCTGCGTCAGTTTAATTTGGTTTTTCCTTAGTGTCAGACAAAACAACTGGTCAGCCACCCTCTCATAACATCTCTTGTTCCCCACATTCAGCCCTGTAGCAGATGTAGCTTATCACAGATACAGAGAAATAAGGTACCTCTCCATCTCTAACTCCAACTCGATGGTGGTCTTTAATTGCTATTCCTCTCTCTCTCTCTCTCTGATGATGATGCGACTTTCACACCTGTCAGCTTATATTGGCATCATGTCCAGCCAAATCACTATCAGGCGCTTTAGCATGCAAGCTAATCATACTACGCTCTTGGTGGCTTAGTGCACAGTTCTGTGGGTGTGCAGTACGTAATGTACCGAGGCCTGGGAGGTGAGTGCTATGCTACAGTGTGTTGTATTGTACCGAGGCCTGGGAGGTGAGTGCTATGTACATTGTTTGTATTGTACCGAGGCCTGGGAGTGAGTGCTATGCTACAGTGTTGTATTGTACCGAGGCCTGGGAGGTGAGTGCTATGCTACAGTGTGTGTATTGTACCGAGGCCTGGGAGGTGACTGCTATGCTACAGTGTGTTGTATTGTACCGAGGCCTGGGAGGTGACTGCTATGCTACAGTGTGTTGTATTGTACCGAGGCCTGGGAGGTGAGTGCTGTGCTACAGTGTGTTGTATTGTACCGAGGCCTGGGAGGTGAGTGCTATGCTACAGTGTGTTGTATTGTACCGAGGCCTGGGAGGTGAGTGCTTGCTACAGTGTGTTGTATTGTACCGAGGCCTGGGAGGTGAGTGCTGTGCTACAGTGTGTTGTATTGTACCGAGGCCTGGGAGGTGAGTGCTATGCTACAGTGTGTTGTATTGTACCGAGGCCTGGGAGGTGAGTGCTATGCTACAGTGTGTTGTATTGTACCGAGGCCTGGGAGGTGAGTGCTATGCTACAGTGTGTTGTGAAGCATGAACAACACAGCAGAACACTTGTCCCGACCTGTAGGGATGTCTGGTTGGTGAATAATTGAGCTCTCTATGGGGGCGACACAGCGAGCGCAGGTATAAGAACCAGACATCATTAATGCATGGCCGACAACTGGTGTATGTAACCAAGAAAATGAACACGTCCTGAACGTTTTATGAATGTTCTCTTGTTGATCTGTTATTGTTGATGTCGAGGAATTTTTGCTTTCTGTGGAAAAAGTAACTTATATTGTTATAGACTAATGGAGAAAGTAACTTACATTGTTATAGACTAATGGAGAAAGTAACTTACATTGTTAAAGACTAATTGAGAAAGTAACTTACATTGTTATAGACTAATGGAGAAAGTAACTTACATTGTTAAAGACTAATTGAGAAAGTAACTTACATTGTTATAGACTAATGGAGAAAGTAACTTACATTGTTATAGACTAATGGAGAAAGTAACTTACATTGTTATAGACTAATGGAGAAAGTAACTTACATTGTTATAGACTAATGGAGAAAGTAACTTACATTGTTAAAGACTAATTGAGAAAGTAACTTACATTGTTATAGACTAATGGAGAAAGTAACTTACATTGTTAAAGACTAATGGAGAAAGTAACTTACATTGTTAAAGACTAATGGAGAAAGTAACTTACATTGTTATAGACTAATGGAGAAAGTAACTTACATTGTTAAGACTAATTGAGAAAGTAACTTACATGTTATAGACTAATGGAGAAAGTAACTTACATTGTTATAGACTAATGGAGAAAGTAACTTACAT